CCATTTTTAAGAATAACTTTCAACAAGAAGTTAAGTTTCAAATGATCATCATCTGGTGAGAGGAACTGTTTTTTTTATTGCAGTGCGCTTGCTGTTGTTAGCCATCTCTTTGAAAATAACTTATGATTGTGAAACATTGTTGCATTGAAAGTGGAACTGACAGCATTTTAGCAACAAACTTATTAAAAAATGTTCATATACACCCCCAAGAAGAATGACACTTTTAAAAAAATCTGAAGCGACCGCTTAGATACGGTCATTTTCACGTGTTCATAAATTCTTAGAATGTTTGGGAATTATTTATACTAAAGCATTTGTGAAAATTATATAGCAATATTGAGTGGGAAAGTGGCTGTACGTTTGGACAATTAATAGACACTGCAGCAAATAAAATCGAATAAAAATCGATCTTGTCCAGGACCGGAGTCTACGCAGACCGGTGCGCTATAGCCAATCAGAGCTACAGTAGGCCTTTATACAAACCAGCCATTTGCCACACGGGCCTGCCATCATTCAATTTGAACTGGACTGTGTGTTTACAGGAAGTTGCAACAGCGCGACTTTAGATCATTAGAACGCATTCGCCAAAAGCCACAAAATACACCAGAATGGATTTCTGCAAATATGTAAACACCACGGGAGTCCTCTTACATTTGGGAACTTTATAGTCATATTGATCAAAGAACCATGAAAAGGTAGGCTCTCTCTCCCTCAGTTATGCACATAAACGACAACAAGATCGACAACTAATGCTAGCCAGAGCAAGATAAGCTAAAATGTAACGAATGAACATTAGATAAACCCTCTAACTACTTCAGCTAGTTGGCCGTCAAAATCGCACTGATAAATAATGGGGAATTGTAGCCTCCTCGTCCTTCTGCAGCTTGCCTGCCAATGCATGCTTGTCTCAACCAAGCACCCAAGCTAACTGGCTAATGTTGGCTAGCTTGCTAGCTACTTCCAGACACAAATTAGAAAACACCTCACTGACAATTTTTTTATCCTCGCCGTAGCAGAGCTGGTTAGGCTGTTTTTATGTTATCTAGAGCGTTCTTGACTAACTATTACTATTTTGGTCTACGTTTACTGACACCTTTCATATTCAGCGGTTGTTGAGCATTCTTAATTTTAACCAGTTGTTCTGCGCTCTGGCACACTCAGGTGAGAGTGCTCTGAAATCGAAGTAGATAGCCAGAGGGAATTTGCGAACGCAAGAGATATGCTAACTAGATAATAGGTGTTCAAGTTCTTGCTAGCTAACCAAATGACACCAGCATCTCGAGCTGTGTATAGCCACCGAAAAACGATATGAGGGGAAAAAGTCAGTCACTCACCCACTCCAATGGCATGGCATGACGTCCTTCTACCAGCTAGCTAGCTAGCTGATGTTTGGCTCCGTGTTTTTAGCTTGCTACATAAATAGATACGCATGCCTAACAGCCACGTTATCACTAACTTGTGATCATTGCCCATGCTAGTTTGATTGTATTGACATTACCAGCCTTAGTTACATTCATCCGTATTTGTCCAGAATATTGAGTCATTGAAACTGAAACAGTGCGTCCCGAGGGGAGGCAGCAAACAATGTACCTTGCCAGCTGTGATTTGCAACCTGATAACAATATTTTTTGGACTACCAAGAAATATATTGGTGAATGATATTAATCGTGCATTACCATCTACAGTAGGGAAAAAAAGTATTTAGTCAGCCACCAATTGTGCAAGTTCTCCCACTTAAAAAGATGAGAGAGGCCTGTAATTTTCATCATAGGTACACGTCAACTATGACAGAAAATCTAGAAAATCACATTGTAGGATTTTTAATGAATTTATTTGCAAATTATGGTGGAAAATAGGTATTTGGTCAATAACAAAAGTTTCTCAATACTTTGTTATATACCCTTTGTTGGCAATGACACAGGTCAAACGTTTTCTGTAAGTCTTCACAAGGTTTTCACACACTGTTGCTGGTATTTTGTCCCATTCCTCCATGCAGATCTCCTCTAGAGCAGTGATGTTTTGGGGCTGTCGCTGGGCAACACGGACTTTCAACTCCCTCCAAAGATTTTCTATGGGGTTGAGATCTGGAGACTGGCTAGGCCACTCCAGGACCTTGAAATGCTTCTTACAAAGCCACTCCTTCGTTGCCCGGGCAGTGTGTTTGGGATCATTGTCATGCTGAAAGACCCAGCCACGTTTCATCTTCAATGCCCTTGCTGATGGAAGGAGGTTTTCACTCAAAATCTCACGATACATGGCCCCATTCATTCTTTCCTTTACACGGATCAGTCGTCCTGGTCCCTTTGCAGAAAAACAGCCCCAAAGCATGATGTTTCCACCCCCATGCTTCACAGTAGGTATGGTGTTCTTTGGATGCAACTCAGCATTCTTTGTCCTCCAAACACGACGAGTTGAGTTTTTACCAAAAAGTTCTATTTTGGTTTCATCTGACCATATGACATTCTCCCAATCCTTGTCTGGATCATCCAAATGCACTCTAGCAAACTTCAGACGGGCCTGGACATGTACTGGCTTAAGCAGGGGGACACGTCTGGCACTGCAGGATTTGAGTCCCTGGCGGCGTAGTGTGTTACTGATGGTAGGCTTTGTTACTTTGGTCCCAGCTCTCTGCAGGTCATTCACTAGGTCCCCCCATGTGGTTCTGGGATTTTTGCTCACCGTTCTTGTGATCATTTTGACCCCACGGGGTGAGATCTTGCGTGGAGCCCCAGATCGAGGGAGATTATCAGTGGTCTTGTATGTCTTCCATTTCCTAATAATTGCTCCCACAGTTGATTTCTTCAAACCAAGCTGCTTACCTATTGCAGATTCAGTCTTCCCAGCCTGGTGCAGGTCTACAATTTTGTTTCTGGTGTCCTTTGACAGCTCTTTGGTCTTGGCCATAGTGGAGTTTGGAGTGTGACTGTATGAGGTTGTGGACAGGTGTCTTTTTATACTGATAACAAGTTCAAACAGGTGCCATTAATACAGGTAACGAGTGGAGGACAGAGGAGCCTCTTAAAGAAGAAGTTACAGGTCTGTGAGAGCCAGAAATCTTGCTTGTTTGTAGGTGACCAAATACTTATTTTCCACCATAATTTGCAAATAAATTCATAAAAAATCCTACAATGTGATTTTCTGGATTTTTTTTCTTCTCAATTTGTCTGTCATAGTTGACGTGTACCTATGATGAAAATTACAGGCCTCTCTCATCTTTTTAAGTGGGAGAACTTGCACAATTGGTGGCTGACTAAATACTTTCCCCCCCCACAACAATGCCTTAGTGTACTTCATCGAACGTTGAGTCAAATATAACCTATTTTTGACTGATATTATGATTGTCTGTTTGTTTCATATCTGCAAAGTAGTTAAAACGCTGTCAGATCCACTTTAAACTTTAGGTCACTGGTTACTTTGTGTGCTAAACGTGAAATGTTTTTTGCAATGGGAAGTAATAGTTGTACATTTCGATTGGGAAATGCTTAATTGTTGTGTTTTTGTATTCTTATGATTGTTTATGGACTGCTTATCCTTCAACATCATGATGTGTGTGACTGCTGTCAGCCCTATGCAGTGGTTTAGTGGTGCCTGGAGAAGTGGGTATACCAACATTTTGCCAAAAAGTTCCCAAACGGCCAGCCCAGCAAAGGGAAAAAAAATCGATTCTTGTTTTATATAGAAAACATTTTTAAAATGTGATGGTCTAAGTCCACAACAATGCTTAAACCACATCAATCTGATTGGGTGGGCCTGTCAGGGCCTGGCTCCCCAGTGGGTGGGCCTCTGTCCACCCAGGCCCATCCATGTCTACGCCCCTGATGCAAACAGCGCATGATGACAATTGCGCATCACAAATAGCCTACTAACCAACACTTCGGACTTCACTTTTTCAATATCAGGTTTGCATACCCTTTGTTGCCTTAGTTAGCATTTACTAGTAGATATCATAAGTTGAAACGTCTTTCCTACCGATGTCATTCTTCTGTGAGCTGCTCCATGCCAAAACCAGTTGAGAGCTGCACACTTGCTGCCTGCAGATGATATTCCGCTGAAACTAGGCTGTGTGAATATATTTCACGTGCTTTGTGATTGTGTAGGCTACTTTGTGCATGATTTCTCAATTGTACTACATAATTGATAAGTCGTATGCCTCCACTACACTATTTTGATACTTATCAGTAGGGATTAAGAAGTGAGTATACGCAATGCCCACTGAAAAGAAAGTGGGTGTACGGTTTATAGCTGCATATAGCCTCCACTACACCACTGGCCCTTTGTTTTACAGAAAGTGCACTCTCCTACATGAGTGCGCTGGTATTACGGTAGCTGTCCTTTCAGAATCATGAACCTGTCACACACTGAAGGCCTATAGGTTCGCCACTGAGGTCTATGCAATCGCAATGGCCAATGCACATTTCACATGCTCCGTATCTCAAAGCCATATCAAATATCTTGGTTGTAAAATAGTTGCTATTGAGCTCAAAATTGAGAGCTGAGAAAGCAGAAGGCCCCAGTGAAACAGGTACATGAGGATAATGTACTTTACTGTTTGACCAAATCATGGTTTTAGTCTCCTTAAAAAATAGGATGTTTTGAGTGAGGTGACCATGTCGAATGTGCTGCTTTCACTGATGCGACAAATTAAACATTTAACTTGCGCAGCCAAGTCAAAGGGTCGCAAAATGTGAATGGTTGCAGTCTGGAGCCCTGGGCCTAATGACAATCGGCGACTATCATTACGCTTGAGATCTTTACATTCATCAAATGGCGCATGCACAGTGCACTGTTTGGATGCTGGAATTATTTTTGATTGGACGAACGTGTGCAGCCGCAGGTAGCCTAGTTTTTGAGCACATGCACCCAATAGAGGCTCCCCGAAAGGCACAATATAATTCACACTCTGCCCGAAACCCTTTCTGCCAGGCGTGCCAGCATACAATGTTACATTCTGGTTGAATCCTAACCCTTAACCTGTGACCTCTGACCTTTCCCCTGTAGTTGTACCAGGAAAGAGTCCTCCCACCCAGGCCAAGAAGCCTAAAGGTCCTGAGCCCACCAGGCAGCTGGAGATCCAGTCAGAGTGTAACTGGGACCAGCATCGAAAACGGGTCCTGGGGGTTCTGTGTCAACGCATGACCCAGAACAGTCTGTCCGAACCCTTCAACATTGGCCGCTACCACGTCCGCCTCCTCTCCAACACACACACATGCAAGGCCGAGGGCACCATCATCATATTCAAGGTAGGGGGATAATATCCATTAGAATAACGTTTTTTATAAACATGTAATTTCCTTTTCTGTCTTAAAGATGCAGTTACTTGGACCAACTCATGCTGCCATACAGATAATGTTCAGAATTCCTCCATGTTTCAGATAAAAAAATGCATAACTCCATCACTGCATAGACTCTCAATCAGTGACGAATCAATGCTCATGAGTATTTGATTTATCATCATGCACTTCCTTACTTCAAGGTGTGCATCAGTAAGGCTGAAGACGACTATACCGATGATATTGACGAATCCGATAGTGAAGTCACAGATGACAGGGATGAGGAGGAGGAAGGGGGCATCCCTAAGCCAGAGCCTGAGGAGCCGGAGATGCAAGTCGGCGTGACACCTTTCCTGACTGGAGTGGTGCCAGCAGGCAGACTGAGAGCCAAGAAGAAACAACCAGCCTGCCCTGCTGTAGGACTCATCCAGGTGGGCTTATTATGTTCACTTGACATTGATTTTAGTCTTGTAGCTAGACATAAAACAAATACAAATAATGACCTAGCATAAAGTTTGCAGTGGTTTTATTGTCATTGAGGACCTCCAAGTTGTAATATAAACATTTTGGCTACGTTTTGTGAAAAGCTCAATCCTCCACATTTGCAGAGAACCTGTTCTTAATGTTGATATTTCTTTCTTCCTCCCCAGGTGAACGGTAAACCCTACTCCCAGGCCCGGCTGCTGCTGGGGCAGATGGGAGCTCTGCACCCGACCAATCGACTGGCTGCGTTCGTCACCGGCAGGTTGCGCTCTGTAGCGAAGGCCCCTCAAAAGCCCCTCTCCTGCTTACCCAGGTTGAAGAAAACACCTGTGGGTGCTGGGTGCTTAAAGACAGCAGGCACTGCTGTTACTCCTTTAGGCAGTAGTAGTGTTAAATCTATGGCTATGGCCCAGAAAGTATTCCAGACACCAGCAGGTAAGAGGGAATAGAGGCTTGAGGTAGACATTTTAACCTTAACCTTCAACACTTGTAAATGTTTTATTGTGTTAAATATGATGTAATTAGACAGTTGAGTAACCGAAGCCTGATCAAGGATGGCTATAGTTTTCTCATAAAAGGTATCTTTCTCACACTGTCACTGTTGTCCTTTTCCAGGGAAGAACAAGCTTCCTCCCTACAGACCACCATGGTCCCTAGGTGTCACCTCCACTAGTCAAACCACCACCACCACAGACCCTAAAGACCCAGCCGTCGCTCACCTGCTTCTGATCCCCATGGCACCTCCTCCTGCCCCAGGCACCTCCCCTGGCTCTCATCCTGGTGTGGTGCCCCCTGCAGGGAGGAAGATGCTACAACAGACAGTCGCTTCCTCCCAGGGCTGTAAAACGTATCATCAGACCAACGGACAGCTGATCAAACCGGTACCTCTGAATCAGATGCGTCACATAAAGGCCAAGAATCAAGAAAAGACCCCTGGTGAGTTCATGTACTGATGCATGTGTATACACACACACACACACACACACACACACACACACATACAGTGGGGAAAAAAAGTATTTAGTCAGCCACCAATTGTGCAAGTTCTCCCACTTAAAAAGATGAGAGAGGCCTGTAATTTTCATCATAGGTACACGTCAACTATGACAGACAAATTGAGAAAAAAAAATCCAGAAAATCCCATTGTAGGATTTTTAATGAATTTATTTGCAAATGATGGTGGAAAATAAGTATTTGGTCACCTACAAACAAGCAAGATTTCTGGCTCTCACAGACCTGTAACTTCTTCTTTAAGAGGCTCCTCTGTCCTCCACTCGTTACCTGTATTAATGGCACCTGTTTGAACTTGTTATCAGTATAAAAGACACCTGTCCACAACCTCAAACAGTCACACTCCAAACTCCACAATGGCCAAGACCAAAGAGCTGTCAAAGGACACCAGAAACAAAATTGTAGACTTGCACCAGGCTGGGAAGACTGAATCTGCAATAGGTAAGCAGCTTGGTTTGAAGAAATCAACTGTGGGAGCAATTATTAGGAAATGGAAGACATACAAGACCACTGATAATCTCCCTCAATCTGGGGCTCCACGCAAGATCTCACCCCGTGGGGTCAAAATGATCACAAGAACGGTGAGCAAAAATCCCAGAACCACACGGGGGGACCTAGTGAATGACCTGCAGAGAGCTGGGACCAAAGTAACAAAGCCTACCATCAGTAACACACTACGCCGCCAGGGACTCAAATCCTGCAGTGCGAGACGTGTCCCCCTGCTTAAGCCAGTACATGTCCAGGCCCGTCTGAAGTGCATTTGGATGATCCAGAAGAGGATTGGGAGAATGTCATATGGTCAGATGAAACCAAAATATAACATTTTGGTAAAAACTCAACTCGTCATGTTTGGAGGACAAAGAATGCTGAGTTGCATCCAAAGAACACCATACCTACTGTGAAGCATGGGGGTGGAAACATCATGCTTTTGGGCTGTTTTTCTGCAAAGGGACCAGGACGACTGATCCGTGTAAAGGAAAGAATGAATGGGGCCATGTATCGTGAGATTTTGAGTGAAAACCTCCTTCCATCAGCAAGGGCATTGAAGATGAAACGTGGCTGGGTCTTTCAGCATGACAATGATCCCAAACACACCGCCCGGGCAACGAAGGAGTGGCTTCGTAAGAAGCATTTCAAGGTCCTGGAGTGGCCTAGCCAGTCTCCAGATCTCAACCCCATAGAAAATCTTTGGAGGGAGTTGAAAGTCTGTGTTGCCCAGCGACAGCCCCAAAACATCACTGCTCTAGAGGAGATCTGCATGGAGGAATGGGCCAAAATACAAGCAACAGTGTGTGAAAACCTTGTGAAGACTTACAGAAAACGTTTGACCTGTGTCATTGCCAACAAAGGGTATATAACAAAGTATTGAGAAACTTTTGTTATTGACCAAATACTTATTTTCCACCATCATTTGCCAATAAATTCATTAAAAATCCTACAATGTGATTTTCTGGAAAAAAAATTCTCATTTTGTCTGTCATAGTTGACGTGTACCTATGATGAAAATTACAGGCCTCTCTCATCTTTTTAAGTGGGAGAACTTGCACAATTGATGGCTGACTAAATACTTTTTTCCCCCACTGTATATACACATACACACAGCCTCAACGGTCTCTATCTTGTGTTGTCCCCACAGATTCTGCTATCAAGCTGTCTACCCCCAAAACACTCCCACCTCCTCCCCCTCCTCTCACCTCCATCCACCCCCCTCGCAGCCCCCCTCCCCACGCCCCCCTCATCAAATTCATCACAGGCCAGTCATGTGCCATCACCCCATCCCAGACCTCATCTTCTTCTTCCCCCGTCTCACTCACCATCTCCTCCTCCCTGAAGACCCCCAGCTTCCTGGGCCAGATTGAGACCTACTCCTTCAGGATCTGTCCACCTCCTGCAGGGGACCAGGGCTCAAGGGGCCCAGGCCAGGGCACCATGGAAGGCCCAGCCGGAGTGGCCCTGCCTGGGGGCTTCACCCTCATCCAGCTCCCTAAACCTGGAGGTACTGGTGGTGCTCCCCGGCTACCCAAACTAATCAGAACCACAGCCGTTGGTGAAGCGGTAGCAGCCAGAACTTCACAGCAAGGAGGGCCTCATCTGGAGACCAAATCTTCCTCTGGACCTGCAAGGGGAAAGGCCCAGAAGAACCAGAAAGGAACCTCTTCTTCTTCTCCCTCACCTCTAACCTTGATACCAGTTAAAACAGAGACTGTGCAATCTGAAAAGCACTCCTACACCCCAGAGTTAAATACCAATACACCTGACTCCAGATTATCTCTAGCCCAGAAGAAACAGAGTCTGACTCTAAAATCTGACCTTAGATCAGCCAAAGTCAACTACTCTAGTCCCACGGAGCCCAATGAGCTGACCTGTGAGAGGGGGGAGGTGGGGGAGGGCTCGCGACTGTGGAGCCCAGAATCATGTCAGAAAGACTCAAAGTTCAGTAAGTTTACGACTCTGAGAATGCATGAGAACGGGCATCCTGATTTGAATGTCGAGGACTGTGAATCGGACGACTCGTCGGATAACTCGGATTCCGACAGTGATGAATATGCCGAGGTATGGTTTGATTTAAGCATTTTTTTTATTATATGTTTATTTTGAAAGTTTATTTGCTGCAGTTGCACTTGAATGACTTCTGGTGTAGTGTTTTGTAAAGCCAGAGTGTGTTGTGTTGTCTCTCACCCCAGGAAGACGAGGAGGAAGCTGTTGACATCGAGACGGTGGAGGAGAGGAGACAGGGAATCACCATCACTCAGATGAGGGCCGCTGTCAAACACACACAGTAAGACTGGAGTGTGTGTGTGTGTTTGTGTGCGTGCATGGGTGCGTGTGTGTTTGGCTATTTACATTTAGCAGTATGATTTGCGTGAGACTGTCTCAAGGAAGCTGGGTTTCAAGTTAAGGTTTTTACATGTTTGTATAAAATAAATATTTTTTCCCCTCACAGACAAAACAGTCAGGATGGTGAAACGGCGCCAAAGGGAAAGGTAAGACATCTCCCATCTGTCCATTGTAACTGCAGAGCCATCTTGTTTTGTAGTATTCTTAGGTCCTCTTTTTCGGAGATGTCTTGTCTACTCATTCATAGCTGTCATGTATGGCAAAAAAAATTGCTTTAGAGGTCTCGGAATACCCAATAGAATGCTCCATGACCCTTAACCTTTGACCCCCTGTGCCATGCAGCATCAGAGGGAAAAGAGAGAGGAGGAGGGGTCTGGGTCTGGCGAGGGAGGGGGTCGTAAGAACCGTAACCTGACGGAGAGGTTGCGTCGCGGCGAGCACCAGAAACTCTTCACCAGACTCAAACAGGTGCTGTTCATGGAAAAACTGGACCCCAAGGTCTCGAACCTTGACCTCCTTTCACAAGTAAGGGACAGTCTGTTATGTGGCTGTGTAACTGGCAATTTGTTTTGGTTCATTTTATCCTGTTCTGTACTGTGGTAGACACATGTACTGTACACATATCCTTTTATTGAAAAAACTAACCTCAAAAACTTTTTCGCATTGTGACCTCTGAGCTTCCCATTGGTTTGCAGCTTGGCTATAGATTGATGATTATCGAATACAAAAGAGATTTAAACTCTTTCTTCCATCAGGCTCTGAAGGAGATTCATACCCTGTCAGTGGACTCTAAGTCTCTGGAGGAGAAGAAGAGGATGCTGACTGAGATCCAGTCTGTCTATGTCAATGAGATTGCATACATGTCTGGTACGTCTGACTGAAACTACCCACTCACTCACTTACATGAGCTACTTGAGTATTATGTTGTTTCAGACTACTTATTTTCAAAGGTGGTTTTGAAGGCAAATACAGTGGTGTGTGTGAACTTAAGAAAGCCCGAAAACAGAACAAAACTAAGATACTAGCGGCATCCCGTCCTAACCCCGTCCTAAGAACTAAGACATGTTGTTATAAACCCATATCTCCTTCCATTGTAGGGAAGCCAGAGGAGCTGATCAAGGCCAAGCTGAAGGAGATCTGGGAGAAGAAGAGAGCTCTGGCTGCCCAGAGAAGAGCAGATGTGCTCTCCTCCTCCTCTACCTCCCAGCTCTCCTCCACCACCTCCACTCCTAGTCCCAACACCCTGACAGGTAATAATAACCTGTTTCCTATATGTCTGACAACAGGAGGTATGGCACTAAGTTGGATCAATGAATTAGCCAACTAACTTAAATAAACATTCAGATAAAGCTACTTATTTTTTACATATTTTAACAGGTGTGCCCAGATTGCGAATTACAGGGGAGCCAGGGGGAGCTCAACTCCCCTTAATGAGACATGAGCTCCTCTAAAGGCAACAAAAGTTCAACTTCGGGGGGGGGGGGGGGTCTCTAAATATTGATAATTTGACCGAGACGCTCCGACAGCAAGACACATCAGTCTCACCGGAGAAAGCATCCGAGCGAGGGAAACAGCGCCCCTCTGTCTCAGTATGTGTAGCCCATGCATCTGATGCTGTCTGGCCAAGAAGATTATGACATGTCACACTCTTATTGACCAGACAGTCAATTGAAGGAAAATTGATTAAAGGGTAACTCTCAACCCCAATTTTAGCCTTTGCCCAACCTCTTGAAATGTAAAAAAAAAGTTGTGGGTGGGGGAAATTGCTAATAAATATTCATTTTGGGGGTGGGTAAACGTAGTTGTACCTGATCCCAACACTTTCTCACTAACACATACTTACCAGAAGTCCACTGGCTCGCTCTGATAATAAAATGATGTGCATCGCGAGCAAATACGGCTCTGGAAAGTTAGCTCAGTGGTAAGGCGCCGAGTTCCTGACATCTATTGCCACTTGCGGTGTAAGTTTGAATCCCCCATGGGGCGCAATTATTATTTTTTTAATGTGGACTGACATTTTATATCGGTATTGTGTTGGGAAGGAAAGTGCAATCATCACCTTGAAAATGAAGATTAGGGGCTCAGTTTTTTCCAATGGTCAAATGAACTCACAGATTGGTCTTGGGTACTGTATACAAATCTACAACTACTACCAGGGCGACCCCTCTCATGGTATTCTTTCACTTTTCAGAATTAGAAGTGTGTGGGCATGGGATGAATATTGAATATAAAAAACGTCTGCCCCATGTGGATTACAACTCGCTGCTATTGAACTATGAGCTAACTGTTTTAGCAGACTGCACCACTAATCAGTCATAACAGTTAGGGTAGTAGGACCAGGGCTCCAGACTAACATTTTCCCATGGGGGCACCAGCCCATGATTTGGTCGCACCCAAAAAAAGATGTGCAGTCACGCAATAGAAAAAAAGGGTATGTTATAGTCATTCACAGTGCTTTATTAAAAAGTGTAATGGACTACTGAGATTGTATTGAAGAAATATCTTGTTTCGTCATCTTTTCATGTTGTGATTCAAAATATTTTTGTGCAACCTAATCCAGTGATTGTCTTGCATTTTGGTTTGACAATTAAGCTATTGTTATATTTTACTGTAAAAATATGGCTCCAGAATGTTTTTTTGTTGTTTGTTTAATAGAGATTTGCCTGCATTATAATGTGCACTAATATCATAGGCTAATTTATTTTATGCTAATTCACCACCTGAGTAAGTGGAAATCTCAAAACACAATAGCTAGATCGCCATCTCTAAATATAATACCCACTGTTAGTAGCCATGTATTAATCTAACAGTAAATTGTTTAGGTCCAAAAAAAGTTACAGTTCTAGCCTACCGCCCAATTTTACATTGACATTTTAGTCATTTAGCAGATGCTCTTATCCAGAGTGACTTACAGTAGTGAGTGTTTACAGTTTCCATGAGGTCTATGCAATCGCAATGGCCAATGCATTTCGCGTGCTCCGTCGTATCTCAAAGCCATATCAGATATCTTGGTTGTAAAATAGTTGCTATAGAGCTCAAAATTGAGAGCTGAGAAATACAAATTATACCTACAGAAAGCTGATAACCTCCTTTCTTCGACTGTGATAACAGGAAAGTTGTGTTTTACCCACAATATAATTTTAAAATGTTATACAATCAGAACACTTTCTTTCTCCTGGAGCATTATTTTCCCGGGGAAATGAGAGAGCGAGTGGCTCGCTCAACACCGCAGAAGGCCCCAGTGAAACAGGTACAGGGGTGGGCAGACACTTTCATTACAGGAATCATGAGGTTATAATGTACTTTACTGTTTGACCAAATCATGGTTTAGCCTCCTAAAAAATAGGACGTTTTGAGTGAGGTAACCATGTAGAATGTGCTGCTCGCACTAATACGACCAATGAAACATTTAACTCGCGCAGCCAAGTCAAAGGGTCGCTAATCACCTGTTTCTCTCTTTCCCTCTCCCAATGTCCCAAGAGAGTATGGACACTAAGCAGGATCAACTAGTTAGCCAGATAACTTTGATAAACCATTTAGATATAGCTCTTATTTATTAATGTATTTCTCTCTGTGTGTATCCCAGTGTCCCAGTTGTCTCGGGCTAGCTCTCTGGGTCAGGCAAGGGCAGCTAGGGGCTCTGTGAAACCAGTGGCTGCTGTTCTACGCACCAAAAGTGGCAAGATCATACTTCCTGCTTCCAAACCAGGTGAGCTCATACAGGAACAGGACACCCACATTTGGTCTCTCACTCTTGGCTAGAAGGTTATGTATGTTCTATATCTAGAAATGAAATATAAACAATGCTGAATTTGAAGAGCGTGATAACTGGGTTTTAAAGTCCATTGGCACACTATATGGGTAAAATGTGGCAAGGGTTATGATCGTCAGACTGCCATTCTGACTAGAATGTGGTCCTCTGTAGCTCAGCTGGTAGAGCATGGCGCTTGTAACGCCAGGATAGTGGGTTCGATCCCCGGGACCACCCATACGTAAAAATGTAGGCACACATGACTGTAAGTCGCTTTGGATAAAAGCGTCTGCTAAATGGCATATTATTATTATTATTATTATTATTATTATTATTATAGAATATGTTGTTGTAAGTCTGTCATTCTAACTGTCATGTATTTCCTTTATCCACAGCAGGAGGAGCGCTCTACACAGTGACGGTTATGAAGAGACCATCAACAGTCACCTCCGTCTCCACCCCCACCACCACCACCTGCTCAGCAGCCAAGGAGGTTGTGGAGAAGGAGAGAGCTGTGGAAAAGGAGTCTACACCCCAGACTATCCACCCCTCTCAGCCCCTCTCGCAGACCCCTAGCCCACAGTGCTCTGTGTCTGCCACTGACCCTGAGAAGAAGGACCAGGGTAGAGTGTCTGGGGAGGCTGACCAGCCCTCAGACAGCCCAGCAGAGGAGAGGCCAGAGGTAGGTAAGGAGGAACCACAGGCCCCTGTCTGTAATGGATCCATGGAAGAAGAACCTTCCACAGAGAAGGACAACATATCAACTCCTAAAGAGAAGAAGTCCCTAATCAATAAAAACTTGATCAATAGGCTTTCTGTTATGAAGTCTCCCCTTGTGGAGAGTGCTCCCCTAAACAGTGCCATCTGGGGGCCGTTGGAGAAACCGCAGGTGGTGGGTGAGAGTGATCCAGGAGGCTGGGGCCTGTCTCTGACCAAGGGAGAGGCAGCCGTACTGGTGACGGCTCTCTCTGAACACGAGGGCATAGTATCGGGGCAGAAGGGAAAGGATAGTGTGGTCACACCGAAGCACAAGGATAACCTGGTCCAACACAATGGAAAGAAGAACTCTGTGACACCGAAGGGCAAGAGTAGCTCAGTCACACAGAAAAGAAAGGATAGCTCAGAACTACAAAAAGAACAGGATAGCACAGTGTCTCAGAAAGAAACTAATAGCTTGGTCCCACCAAAGGAAAATTATAGCTCGATCACTAAGAAAGCAGAGGACGGCTTGGTGACATCAAAGGAAAATGATTGCTGGGTGACACAGAAGGGAGAGGGAGGCTCGGCAGACGGCTTGGAGGCTCCACATGTGAAAGAAAACGAGGACGGCCACGCTTGGACATTAAATCACCACCAACTGAACATATCACTACTACCCCTGTGGCAACGCCTGGGGGGAGCTCGGCCAACGTTACACAAGCCACGGGTAGTACCCTTACCCCAGTGTCTCCACCTGGGGGTATTCTTGTGACTAACACTAGGGATGGTGAAAATCAACTGACCCCAAGGGTACTTAGCCCTACGAGGCGGGGTAGGACTGCTAAAGTACGACGGGTTGGGGATAATACTAGCCCTGTGGTGACGACTGGGCCTGGAGGTAGCTCGGCTGAAGTGACTCCAGCTGGGGGTAGCCCTGTGAAGAGAGCTGCCAGTAGCCCTGCAACTCGGGGTAGGCCTCCTAAAGTACGGAAAGCTGGAGATGGCCCTAGCCCGGCCCCTGTAACTCGGGCTGGGTTAAGCCCTGTGGTGAAGACTGAGGGCAGCGCAGCCAAATCACCACGAGGAGATCGCCCGGCCAGGGCAACCCGAGCTGGGGTTAATAGCTCTGTTGCAACGACTAAAGGAAGCCCGGGTAAAACACCACAGGCTGTGGGTCGGACTGGAACACGGCCTGTGACCCGCGCTGTAGCAGTGAAGGGCTCTGTCAGTGGGAAGAGGACAATGAGGTCTGACAAGGCCTAGTGGAGCTGAGACTAAGGCTGCATTTCCACAATGTCTCCATTGGTGCATCTCGATACAGTGTAGCTCAGTTGGTAGGGACCAGTATGAAAATGTATGCATTCACTACTGTAAGTCGCTCTGGATAAGAGCGTCTGCTAAATGACTCAAATGTAAATGTACAAATGTACAGTAGTTGTCTACCTCGTTTCCTCTCCCTTCGCTCCAATGATGCATTTCAGCCTAGCTCCAACCAGAGGAACTAGAGAGTCATACTCCTCACGTCAACAGATGTCATTAAAGGCTGCACTCTTCCTTAGATGTTAGAGGTCCAGAAATCCCATTGAGCCTGCCACATGTGCCTGTTCACAAATCCAAAGGACCCTGGACAGTTATGTCTGTGTGAGGTAACCCTCTCTCAGCTTTAGTACTCGCCTGCCTGCCTGCCTGCGTACTCGTGAACACACAAAGCAGACAATAATTTACACCTACAGGACAGTCAGTTTTCAGAACATCTGTAGTCATTGAGCGAAACATTAAATGAATTAACTGTATGAATGTACTGAAGGTTTAGCTGCTGTTTTGAGTAGTTCTACATAGGACGTTAGCCCCATATTGGGGTGAATGTGGCATGTCATACTTTTTTGATGAAGTCAATATTGTTATTATGTTCTAAAAAGTTGATTTACTTATGTTATTTAATAATCAAACCCCTGTGATTTTTGAAGATAAAGGGAAGGTCTGTATTTCTTTCGCTTAAGTAACATGATGGGTTCATGACTTCACTCCCCATGTTTTGTTAATGTATGGGTGTGTGTTGTCTTCGATTAAATCTACAAAAATAATGGACACGCATGACCACAAAACAGATCAATTACTTTCTGGTCCATTTTGAAGTTACCAATAGGCCCTAATCTTTGCAGCTGAAAATCATTGATTTCAGATAACATTCATGTGTTTGTTCATGTCAAAAACACTGTCAATGTTATTTCTATGCCACTGTAAAGACTATATGCGATTGGTGCGTCCAGTCCTTTTTAAATACTCTTCATTTCATTACCAGGCTTTTGGATTTTTTTTTCTTTAAGTCTTTGGCAAATACAATTCATACAATTCTTTCTACTATTTCTACACAGTTACAACAATGTTGAATATTTTCATTTGCCTTATGATTTGCTTCCCCGTCTGTTTTCCAATGGTACTCCTTGTTCAATGATTCTTATGTCTGATTTTTGAGGAACTTATGCATAACATGTAAACATTTATTTTATTTGTAGTCAAAAGACATTTGTTTCAATCTTGTGTGTCACAAACAATCATTATCTAAGCCTACTGTGGTGTGTGTGTATATATTTACAAATAATAATGTTTGTAAATGTTTATGTCTGATTTGAGTGTTGAATAATGCTCCTCAATGCATTTTTTTGTAAAGAAATGACTGCTATGTCAGTCACTGAGATGTGCTGGCAAGATACTGTGGCCTTAAATGGATTAAACTGTATACGTTTATTTGGTGTGGCAGTTGTTGTAACCTGCATGAAACGCCACGAGGTGGTAGAATAGTATAGCATGTGGAATAATAAAATAGAACACAATAATGAAACAATTCATAAATATAGAATAATCAAAATTAGACTAGTAATTATAGACATTAATTATTGCAGTGTTCTAATGGTTCTTAGGTCTATTTATGACAGAAAGCTTAAATTTATATTTTATCTGGGTTTTACACACGTCTCTATTACACTGGCGGATACAGGGTAATGATTGCATTATAAGCCTAGTAGAGTGCAGATGTAGGCTAACTTTATCTGAGCTACTGAATTCAATCATATTGATCTCCTACTGCACTAGAGTAGGGTTCCCAAACGTTTTCCCTCTGGGGGCCCCCCTTCCAGCATTGGGGAACATGCACAGGCCACATCTATTTCTATGGGCACAAGCACTGTTCACACCCCTCTTGTGGAGATAATTTTGCAGGTTTAAAGCTTATTTCCTAATTCTACACATTTTGTCATGGGGTGCAAAGAACATTTTGCAGTTTTAAAGCATATTTTCTAATGTGTATTCATGTGATGTTTGAGTGACAAAAAAATTACTATATGGGCTAAAAAACCTAAATAAAGAAACTTTAGCTGACATGGAGTTGATCTGGACATTTCTGACATGTTATAAATAGCTCTCTAAGGTATGCAATGAATAACATGACAAGAGGAACTGATAATGAGCGAAATTGCACCTTGGGCATTCTATTATTACAACTTTCAAGAGTAAGTTTAAAGCCAGACTGTTCCTTCAAAAAAAAAAAAAAAAGTTTTTTCGCCGACCCCTCGCGCCCAATGGGGCGTGTCCCACAGTTTGGGAGCCACTGCACTAGAGGAGATATAACTAGTTTAGTCGCCAAACATTAGCTAAACCGACTACAGTACACCCGTCACGGTAGTTTAACACTTCTCTAACCTACTCAAGAGATTAAAGTTGTACACAAGCCTATGGCACTAAAGTTTACTCAGCTGCAAAAAATATTACTAGGTGATGCAAGCGCGTATGTATCCTAAAGAAGGATTTCACCGTTCAAACAACTTTTAACGTAAGACGTTTATCGGGATATCAAGATGACAGACGGGCACGGGTCAACAATAAAAAGTCGGATAAAGAACATGCTGCGGAAGAATCGGAAAGAAAACCTTGCGGACAAGGTGAGTGACTGCCGGTTTGCTTTTCAATAGATTTATGCCCGAATGATAGGTTAACTAGAGTAAATTCTAGTGTCATTGCATGCACATTATATTTCTATTGCTGTCATTTAGAGAACATAACGAAACAACATTTTGCTTTATTGTGGGTATATCACTCTCTCAAGAAATGCCTTAGATTAAAATGTTCAAATGTGAGACTTCATATTCCCAATAAAATAGTAATATGTCTCTAAACACCTGAGAACCAAAAGAAAAAAAGATGATTATGACTGTAAGTCGCTTTGGATAAAAGCGTCTGCTAAATGGCATATTATATTATTATTATTATATGATAGCCTATTTTGACACTTTTCCAATGCATGAGGTTGAGTCAGTGGATCCATCTAATCATGTGAGCTATTGTTGAGAAATTCAAGAACAAAACAGCACACTAACAGCGTGCTAACTAATCAATCAGCCTTCTCTCACGTTGTATTGATAATAGACGCATTTCAGTGTCAGAAAATGACAGGGAGGTGTTTGTTTAGCTCTCTGTCCAGACCGATAGTTCAGCTTCTTTCAGTTTACAGTCATTTAGCAGACGCTCTTATCCAGAGCGACTTACAGTTAGTGAGTGCATAAATTTTTCATACTGGCCCCCCGTGGGAAACGAACCCACAACCCCATCTTAATCTTTTCTTTTTATTGGCCAGTCTGAGATATTGCTTTTTCTTTGCAACTCTGCCTAGGTCAGCATCCCTTAGTTGCCTCTTCACTGTTGACGTTGAGACTGGTGTTTTGTAGGTACTATTTAATGAAGCTACCAGTTGAGGACCTGTGAGGCGTCTGTTTCTCAAACTAGACACTCTAATGTATTTGTCCTCTTGCTCAGTTGTGCACCGGTGCCTCCCACTCCTCTTTCTATTCTGGTTAGAGCCAGTTTGCGCTGTTCTGTGAAGGGAGTAGTACACAGCGTTGTACGAGATCTTCAGTTTCTTGGCAATTTCTCGCATGGAATAGCCTTCATTTCTCAGAACAAGAATAGACTGACGAGTTTCAGAAGAAAGTTCTTTGTTTCTGGCCATTTTGAGCCTGTAATCGAACCCACAATTGCTGATGCTCCAGATACTCAACTAGTCTCAAGAAGGCCAGTTTTATTGCCTCTTTAATCAGCACAACAGTTTTCAGCTGTGCTAATATAATTGCAAAAGGGTTTTCTAATAATCAATTAGCCTTTTAAAATGATAAACTTGGATTAGCAAACAGCGTGCCATTGGAACACAGGACTGATGGCTGCTGATAATGGGCCTTTGTACGCCTATGTAGATATTCCATAAAAAATCAGCTGTTTCCAGCTACAATAGCCATTTACAACATTAACAATGTCTACACTGTATTTCTGATCAATTTGATGTTATTTTAATGGACAAAAAAAAATTCTTTCGAAAACAAGGACATTTCTAAGTGACCCAAACTTTTGAACGGAAGTGTGTATATGTATATATACAGCTGTGGAAAAAATGTAGAGACGACTGCAAAATTATCAGTTTCTCTGGTTTTACTATTTATAGGTATGTTTTTGGGTAAAAATAACATTTGTGTTTTATTCTATAAACTACTGACAACATTTCTCCCAAATTCCAAATAAAAATATTGTCATTTAGAGCATTTATTTGCAGAAAATGACAATTGGTCAAAATAACAAAAAAGATGCAGTGTTGTCAGACCTCAAATAATGCAAAGAAAATAAGTTCATGTTCATTTTTAAACAACACAATACTAATGTTTTAACTTAGGAAGAGTTCAGAAATCAATATTTGGTGGAATAACCCTGATTTTCAATCACAGCTTTCATGCGTCTTGGCATGCTCTCCACCTGTCTTTCACATTGATGTTGGGTGACTTTATGCCACTCTTGGCGCAAAAATTCAAGCAGCTCGGCTTTGTTTGATGGCTTGTGACCATCCATCTTCCTCTTGATCACATTCCAGAAGTTTTCAGTGGGGTTCAGGTCTGGAGATTGGGCTGGCCATGACAGGGTCTTGATCTGGTGGTCCTCCATCCACACCTTGATTGACCTGGCTGTGTGGCATGGCGCATTGTCCTGCTGGAAAAACCAATCCTCAGAGTTGGGGAACAATGTCAGAGCAAAAGGAAGCAGGTTTTCTTCCAGGACAACCTTGTACGTGGCTTGATTCATGCGTCCTTCACAAAGACAAATCTGCCCGATTCCAGCGTTGCTGAAGCACCCCCACATCATCACCGATCCTCCACAAAATTTCACAGTGCGTGCGAGACACTGTGGCTTGTAGGCCTCTCCAGGTCTCCGTCTAACCATTAGACGACCAGGTGTTGGGCAAAGCTGAAAATTGGACTCATCAGAGAAGATGACCTTACTCCAGTCCTCTACGGTCCAATCCTTATGGTCTTTTGCAAACCTCAGCCTGGCTCTTCTTTGCTTCTCATTGATGAAGGGCTTTTTTCTAGCTTTGCACGACTTCAGCCCTGCCCCTAGGAGCCGTCCTCGCCGTGCACTTCACCCCAGCTGCCGTTTGCCATTCTTTTTGTAGGTCACTTGATGTCATCCTACGGTTGTTGAGTGACATTCGAATTAGTTGGTGGTCATCCCGGTCAGTAGAGAGTCGTTTTCGCCCTCTGCCGGTCTGTAGCTTTGTTGTCCCCAATGTCTGCTGCTTGACCTTGTTCTTATGAACCGCCGTCTTTGAAATTTTAAGGATGGAAGCAACCTGACGCTCACTGTATCCCTCTGCCAGTAAAGCCAGAATTGAACCCTTCTTTTCCTCACTCAAAACTTTCCTTTTCAACTCTTTTGGCATGGTCAATAGTTATATTTTGATTAATATTACTTTTGAGGTGCTATTAGCTCTGTTTTTGCCAACCAGCTGGTCCTATTGCAAGAGGATAGTGATGACCACAGCAGTGGTTTTTATACTTTTCCTCATTAAATAAGATTTGGTTCAGGTGATCACCTAATCAGTACCTAATTCAGTAGAATGAGGTGTGCCTGTGTTGGAATTCAACAGACACTGGAATGGAATGGCCGTCATACATGTAGAGATGCTGATTTAAGAAAAGTTAGCAGTGGTCTCTTAATTTTTTCCACAGCTGTGTGTATATATATATATATATATATATATATATATATACACACACACACACACACACACACACACACACAAAGTGCATTCGTAAAGTATTTAGACCTCTTCACTTTTTCCACATTTTGTTACGTTACATTAAACAGTTTTCCCCCCTCATCAATCTACACACAATACCCCATAATGACAAAGCAAAAACTGGTTTTTCGAAATTTTTGCAAATGTATTAAAAATTAAAAACGGAAATATCACATTTACATAAGTATTCAGACCCTTTACTCAGTACTTTGTTGAAGCACCTTTGGCAGCGATTACAGCCTCGAGTCTTCTTGGGTATGACGCTACAAGCCTGGCACACCTGTATTTGGGGAGTTTCTCCCATTCTTCTCTGCAGATCCTCTCAAGGTCTGTCAGGTTGGATGGGGAGCATCGCTGCACAGCTATTTTCCGGTCTCTCCAGAAATGTTCGATCGGGTTCAAGTCCGGCCTCTAGCTGGGCCACTCAAGGACATTCAGAGACTTGTCCCGAAGCCACTCCTGCGTTGTCTTGGCTGTGTGCTTAGGGTTGTTGTCCTGTTGGAAGGTGAACCTTCGCCCCAGTCTGTGGTCCTGGGCACTCTGGAGCAGGTTTTCATCAAGGATCACTCTGTCAGGCCCTGACCAAGGCCCTTCTACCCCGATTGCTCAGTTTGGCTGGGCGGCCAGCTCTAGGAAGAGTCTTGGTGGTTCCAAACTTCTTCTGTTTAGGAATGATGGAGGCCACTGTGTTTTTGGGGACCTTCAATGCTCCATAAATGTTTTGGTACCCTTCCCCAGATCTGTGCCTCGACACAATCCTGTTTTTGCTCTGATATGCACTGTCAGCTGTGGGACCTTATATAGACAGGTGTGTTCCTTTCCAAATCATTTCCAATCAATTGAATTTACCACAGGTGGACTCCAATCAAGTTACAGAAACATCTCAAGGATTATAAATGGAAACAGGATTCACCTGAGCTTAATTTCGAGTCTAATAGCAAAGGGTCTGAATACTTATGTAAATAAGGTATTTCTGTATTTAATAATAAATTAGCAAAAAAATGTAAAAACCTGTTTTCGCTTTGTCATTATGGGGTATTGTGTGTGGAAAAAGTGAAGGGGTCTGAATACTTTCCGGTATGCACTGTGTATACACACACATACACACTCCGGACTCCAACATTGCTACATTGCTCGTCCTTTACTTTTTAGATTGGTATGTATTGTTGTGTATTACTGCTCTGTTGGAGCTAGGAACACAAGCATTTCGCGACACCCGCAATATCATCTGCTAAATATGTGTATGCGACCAATAAAACTTGATTTGATAGAGAGAGTTGTGTTGATGCTGAGAGCGGAATGTATGTTTTTCAATAACATTCTTAGAACGTTCTCTGAACATTACTACAGTTTTCTTGTGGTTTTTATGGAAAGTTTTCTTAACATTCAAAGAACTTAATGTATGTTTTTTTTTTTATTATTCTACAACGGGTTGGTCAAAACAAGCATTTCTTATTGGTTAATTCGATCTCCACTGTCCTATTGATAATGAACATGTCAGGACGAGACGGGCATCTTTTCTCAGCCAGTCAAAATCATGAATCAGCATCATTTTTTATGGATATAAAGAAATGTCAATAGGGAAACAGGTCAAACAAAAGGAAATGCAGCGACTTTTGCTGTTATTCTAGCTGCACGGTTTGACGTGACTGTGTTAGCAGTAGTTGGTTAGCTAGCAAGCAAGGGATAAGAGCGTTGCCAGCCAGCATGGCAACAGAACATTTCCAACGAACGAGTGGGTCGCGTCCATAGATACAGAACAAAAAGACTTCACTACTGGGTCGCGTCTCTGGCAACCTAACCGATAGAATGAACGGACATCTTTTCTCAGCCAGTCGAAATCATGAATCAGCATACTTTTTATGGATATATGCAGTACAAAGAAATGTCAATAGAAAAACAGGTCAAACGACATAAAATGCAGCTAGTTTGCTACCTTACCAGCTTCATTTTGAAGTGATTGTGTTAGCTCCTCTGAACAGGGTCCTGACGAGAGAGCACATTTTCTATGCTAGGCGAAATCGCGCTTCATTAGGTCATTGTTATGGATGTATCCAAAAGATCTTAAACAAGCGCAAATGCCGCTACTTTGCTGTTATTCTAGCTGTGCTGTTTGACCTGACTTTGTTACCATAGTTGGCTAGCTAGCAAGCAAGAAATAAGAGCATTGCCAGCCAGCATGGCAATGGAACATTTAGAACAAACGACTGGGTCGTCTATAGATACAGAACAAAATGACTTAACGACTGGCAAACTTACCGATAGAATGAACGGCCAGCCGGCTTGGCTAGCAACCATAAATGTGTCGGGACTAGGCATGTATTTTCGTTGAGGGATGAAATAGTAGCCTATGGATGCATTTATCAAAATAACGTTTTTTATTTAATTAGTAACACGTTGTAGAAAAGCAATTGTACACGCTAGGTTGTGCAAAACTTTTTTTAGTACGGCTGTGCTGCGGTCCTCCGAGTACCGTAGATTGTGCTAAAAATTTTGTTTAGCACGCCCTCTTGTGTACAATTGCTTTATTTTAGAACGTTCTCTGAACATTCATGTTTTCTTGTGGTTTTTATTAAAAGTTTTCTTAATGGTCATGGAACAATTTGAGAACATGACTTTAAATAGAACAACGAGGAAACCTGTAGGAAACGTTATGCTGAAGTACTGAAATTCATACAGAAGAACATTGTTTCTTAATGTTCTCTAAACTATTTCAGAACATCCCCAATGTCAAACCCAGTTGGAGAACATTTCTAGAACATTACCAAAATTGAAATTAAATGTAAACATGAACTTTTAGGAAATGTTCTGTTAAAGTAATGAAATTCCAAGAAAATAACGTTTTCTTTGTCAAGATCCTTAAATGTGCTGAGAATGTTCCAAAACCAAGCAACTATACTGCACCATCCCCAGAAAGTTGTGGGAAGGTTGTATGCAAAATAACCATAGGACAACCACGCTCTCACCAAGCTCTAAGAAACATATGGTTCTCAGAACTTTATTTGCTTGCTGGGTAGTCCATCAGGGCTAATCTCCCACGGGGCATAAACAGACATGCAATACATTGGATAATCAACAAGGGGCTATGCGTTCTATGGAACATAATGAACAATGTTGCATTATTTTCCAGAGAACACATAGAGCCCCGAGTTGATTATCCCTTTTATAAAATCCTCTCAGATCTCCACTAGTGTATAGGGATTGTGGGCTAGGGACAGGGGCTAGGGGTGGATTTGGGATTGCCTTGTTAAAACTCTAGAATTCTCTGTCTCCCTCTGTAGGTGACTTTGGAGAGGGTCCTGGGAATCAAAGCCTCTAGCAACAGTGGTCTGGCCTGTGACCCCCACTCTGGTCTTGTGGCCTATCCTGCTGGGTGAGTCTAGGGGGAGAGGAAGAGAGAGAGAGGTGTGAGTGCGTGCGTGCGTGCGTGCATGCCAGACCTGGGTTCAAATACTATTTCAAATGTCTCAATTAATTTCACATGCATTCGAATTAAGTATTCAGATATATTTTATTTGAAAAGACAAGTAGTAATGTATTTGGAAATACACTTGGAAAGTGTTTGAAAATACTCAAATACACTCCCATTCATTTAACCCAGGTATTTTACTGAACACAAATATAAACGCAACATGTAAAGTTTTGGTCCCATGTTTCATGAGCTGAAATAAAATATCCCAGAAATGTTCCATACTCACAAAAAGCATATTTCTCTCAAATGTTGTGCACAAATTTGTTTACATCCCTGTTAGTGAGCATTTCTCCTTTGCCAAGATAATCCATCCATCTGACAGGTGTGGCATATCAAGAAGCTGATTAAACAGCATGATCATTTCACAGGTGCACCTTGTGCTGGGGACAATAAAAGGCCACTCTAAAATGTGCAGTTTTGTCACACAACACAATGCCACAGATGTCTCAAATTGAGGGAGTGTGCAATTGGCATGCAGAAATGCAGTAAGTAGGCCATGCTTCCTAAAAGCCTCTGTCATAACCTAATTAATCAGGCCAATGTCTGGAACAACAAGAGAATTAGGTCCTTGGACTAGCTCTGCGCCAAGGACTGTGAATGTGCACGTATGCGTGTGTGTGTTTGCCATTGTTCATACCTTTGCCAATCCTCCTCAGCTCCTCTATTTTAAACTCCTGGCACACTTAATAGGCCAGAGACGTGGTTCACACAGAGCTGTGTCACATAGCTGCCAGGGTGTACTGTCCTGTTTAACTTACACCCCCACACTCTCTGTGAACAGGAAGTGATGATAGCAGGAAGTGATAGGCACGCATTATGACGGGGACCATTATGACGGGGACTCAGGTATCCGATTTGAATGGCAGGCAGGTAGAAGCTCAGAGGTTCACACGATTATCCGGCAGGCTTAGAGATTCTGTTTAGGATCAGTGGAAGCTTTACAATATTAACACTGCTTTACATATTATATATTCAGGATTAAGAGAAGCGTTGTTGCAGAACACAGAACAAACAGCCCTTCCAAAGTCTGTTAGGTAACTAACACCCCTGTTGGATTGCTACTGTTACATACAGGGACTTCAGAAAGTATTCATACCCCTTGACTTATTCCACATTTTGTTGTGTTACAGTCTGAATAAAAAATTTATGAAATATATATTTTTCCACATCTATCTACACACAATACCCCATAATGATAAAGTGAAAACATGTTTTTAGAAATGGTTGCAAATGTATTGAAAATTAAATACAGAAATATCTCATTTACATAAGTATTCACAGTCAATACCATATTCCTCACTGCCTTTTTGGAAATGCAAATTGCCCTTATGTCATGTAACTATTATTCTGCAGCCTCATATTACTCAGCTGCAGATCAAGTGCATAAGATGGTGGTCGAATTGCAATGAAAGGATACAGTGTAATTACACTGTAGTTACAGTAGTAATTCCTGCTGTGTAACCCTGGTGTGTGTTTCTCCTGCTCTGTAGCTGTGTGGTGGTTCTGCTGAACCCCAAGAAGAACAGACAGCACCACATCCTCAATACATCCAGGTGAGATATTACTCACTCGCACTACCATCCCGTAATCACCCCCTACTCATTCCCTAATCATACCCTAATCATCCTCTACCCAGACCCTAAACATCCACGGATACATGTATGACTGTAACCACAGAATACTCTTCTCTCTTTTAACAGGAAAACTATCACAGCTCTGTCCTTCTCTCCAGATGGCAAATGCTTGGTCACAGGAGAGGTGAGTTCTCTCTCTCTCTCTCTCTCTCTCTCTCTCTCTCTCTCTCTCTCTCTCTCTCTCTCTCTCTTTCTCTCTCTCTCTCTCTCTTTCTCTCTTTCGATTTTAATCCTCAAAATCTGGTTAGTGGGTTTGATTGAATATCTCCCTGTGTTGTACCGTAGGTGTGGTAATGTTTTAGCTCCAGATTAGCTCATGTGGCTCGACGCTGCTGTGTTGATGTGGCGCCTTAGCCTAATCCCAGCTAGCCAATCAGAGCCTAAATAAATCCCTCTCGCTGTAAGTGGGTGAGCACTTCAGAGTTGCCATAGCAGCAGGGGTCAAAGTACCAAGTACCATGCTCATAGGACTGCTGTTGGTTACACACACACACACAAACAACCCTCTGGGTAGAAGTTACCCTTAGGTACTAGGATCAGTTTACCCTTCCCAATTCTAACCTTAACCATTAGGGTGAGGGAATATGTTATTATGAGGAGTGTATCTCAATTGAATGCTTCCTACATTTCCTTTTTTTTTGGGTCATGGTTAAAGACTAGAATATCACTGATAGACTCTGTCATTTTATTGATTTGAGTCCCTTACTATGGAAGCAATGATGAATCTGTTACAGAAGCAGAACAATCAGTAGGCTAAAAACTAGAGGTAAACATGTGGATATCCCTGTATCTCTGAGAGGACGATCTGATAACACATGCACACACAAACACACACACACATATAGGAGCTGATCCACACACAGTGTCCCAGTATCCTTAGTGGACCTGGGCACAGTCAGATTAAAGTAACAACTTTTTGACCTCTGATAGTGTGTGAAATGGTTCAGACTGAGTGGATTGTGGCTGACACAGCATGTGTATTCGCACTGTGACTTTATCTCTCTCTCCCCTTCTCTCCATCTATCTCCCCTTCTCTCGGTCTCGCTCTCCCTCCCCCTCCCAGTCGGGTCACCTGCCGGCGGTGCGTGTTTGGGAGGTCTGTGAGCGTCGGCAGCTGGCAGAGCTGCAGGAACATAAGTATGGCGTGTCCTGTGTGGCCTTCTCTCCCAACAGTAAATATATCGTCAGCGTGGGCTACCAGCACGACATGATGGTCCACGTCTGGGCATGGAAGGTATGCCAGCAGCCTCTGGCCAATAGGCATCTTACTTAAGTTGTCCAATGTCACCTTTCTGTCAACCAATGAAATTCTCATCTGCCCTGAGTGACCTTTCTATGAGCCAATATTATCAGCCCTTCTGCAATAGCCACTGCCCCAGAGACCGCAACATCAATAGAATCTGCCCTTCTGCTTGTGTAACTGCCACAGGGGCAATACTTCTATAGTTACTGCCCTCATACATTTAGTATTTTTGTTGTGGTTGCAGAAGAACACAGTAATTGCTGCTAACAAGGTGTCCAGTAAGGTGACAGCAGTGTCCTTCTCTGAGGACAGCTCCTACTTTGTGACAGCAGGGAACAGACACGTCAAGTTCTGGTACCTGGACCACTCCAAATCTATCAAGGTACTTTCATCTCTGTTTCTGTGCAGGCTAATGCTACTGATTGTGAGCAGACTAACAGAACGGCTAACTCTTGTTACTCATTGCATTTTACATAACCAACTAACTAACTGCATTTCTCTCTACAGGCCAGTGCTCCAGTCCCAGTCTCGGCTCCTGATACTAAGTCTAATACTAATAACACTAGTGTTTCTGTTGTGTTTGTGCAGGCCAGTACTCCTGTCCCTCTGCTGGGGCGCTCTGGGCTCTTGGGGGAGCTGAGGAACAACTTATTTTGTGACGTGGCTTGTGGGCGTGGCTCTAAGGCCGAAAGCACCTTCTGTATCACCTCCTCCGGCCTGCTCTGTGAATTCAACACCAAGAGGATGCTGGACAAGTGGGTGGACCTACGGGTGAGTCACTGACAGATGGGAGAGCCTATAGGTGAGTCACTGACATAGGAGTGTGAAGGTGCCTTTGGACTATTAACAGATGGCCTAATGCAAGGAAATGGCTGGCATGTGTCTGTGGTGTGAAAGGAGTTCATGTCTGTCTTTGGTATGGACTCTGTCCAACTGTAGGCTCTATAGAGGTCTGTGTGTCCCTTGTGTCCTGCCAGCAGTAAGGGGATCACAGATAGATTAGGGTTAGGGACAGGGACGAGGACAGGATGTGTTTGAGACACTTCCAGTGGGAACACCTTTGTCCATCCAAGTCCATCCAGGAGTGAGGCCAGGACACTGATCTTAGATACAGTGGGGAGAACAAGTATTTGATACACTGCCGGTTTTGCAGGTTTTCCTACTTACAAAGCATGTAGAGGTCTGTAATTTTTATTATAGGTACACTTCAACTGTGAGAGACGGAATCTAAAACAAAAATCCAGAAAATCACATTGTATGATTTTTAAGTAATTCATTTGCATTTTATTGTATGACATAAGTATTTGATATATCAGAAAAGCAGAACTTAATATTTGGTACAGAAATCTTTGTTTGCAATTACAGAGATCATACGTTTCCTGTAGGTCTTGACCATGTTTGCACACACTGCAGCAGGGATTTTGGCCCACTCCTCCATACAGACCTTCTCCAGATCCTTCAGGTTTCGGGGCTGTCGCTGGGCAATACGGACTTTCAGCTCCCTCCAAAGATGTTCTATTGGGTTCAGGTCTGGAGACTGGCTAGGTCACTCCAGGACCTTGAGATGCTTCTTACGGAGCCACTCCTTAGTTGCCCTGGCTGTGTGTTTCGGGTTGTTGTCATGCTGGAAGACCCAGCCACGACCCATCTTCAATGCTCTTACTGAGGGAAGGAGGTTGTTGGCCAAGATCTCGCAATACATGGCCCCATCCATCCTCCCCTCAATACGGTGCAGTCGTCCTGTCCCCTTTGCAGAAAAGCATCCCCAAAGAATGATGTTTCCACCTCCATGCTTCACGGTTGGGATGGTGATCTTAGGGTTGTACTCATCCTTCTTCTTCCTCCAAACACGGCGAGTGGAGTTTAGACCAAAAAGCTCTCTTTTTGTCTCATCAGACCACATGACCTTCTCCCATTCCTCCTCTGGATCATCCAGATGGTCATTGGCAAACTTCAGACGGGCCTGGACATGCGCTGGCTTGAGCAGGGGGACCTTGCGTGCGCTGCAGGATTTTAATCCATGACGGCGTAGTGTGTTACTAATGGTTTTCTTTGAGAATGTGGTCCCAGCTCTCTTCAGGTGTCACGATCGTTTACGGACGAGAAGGACCAAGGCGCAGCGTGATATGCATTCATATTTATTTACGGCTAAACACACGACAAAACAACAAACGAAACGTGAAGTCCAAGGTAGCATACAAACAACATACCTTACACGGAACAAGATCCCACCACTAACAGGTGCCAAAAGGCTGCCTAAGTATGGTCCCCAATCAGAGACAACGAGCTACAGATGCCTCTGATTGGGAACCACCCTGGCCAACATAGATCTGCACATGCTAGATCTAAAACAAAGAAATCAACATAGCAACACACAACACGGAAAATACACACCCTGACTCAACAAATACAAGTCCTCAGAGTCAGGGCGTGACAGTACCCCCCCCCCCCCCCCCCCCCCCCCCCCCCCCCCCCCCCCCAAAGGTGCGGACTCCGACCGCGCCACATAAACATAACAGGGTAGGGGCCGGGTGGGCATTCCGCCTCGGAGGCTCCGGGTGTGACCACCACTTACTCTCCACCTCGCCGTTGCGCCCCTGGTCTGGTCTGGACCTCGGCGCGCTGCTTCCCCTCTCCTTCCTCCCATGACGTACCAAGCCCTGTCTGGACCCTGGTGTGGGAGACCCCGAACCCGGAGAGGGGCTGACGTCTGGGTCTGGACTGGAACCGCTGACTGGAGCTGGACCCGACGACGGTGGAGCGGATTGCTCTGGCTCCGGAGTGGAGCAGCTGACCGGAGCTGGATCAGGCACTGGTGGAACAGGCACGGGCCGTGCCGGACTGGACACACGCACCACTGGCTTGGTGCGGGGAGTAGGAACGGGCCGGACCTGGCTGATGACGCGCACCCCTGGCTTGGTGCGGGGAGCAGGAACGGGCCGGACTGGGCTGACGATGCGCACCACTGGCTTGGTGCGAGGGACAGGCACAGGTCGGACCGGGCTGGCGACGCGCACCACTGGCTTGGTGCGAGGGGCAGGAACAGGCCGGGCTGGCAACGCGCACCACTGGCTTGATGCGAGGAGCAGGAACGGGCCGAACCGTACTGGGAACACACACCACTGGCTTAGTGCGGGAAGCAGGAACGTGCCGGACCGGACTGGCGACACGCACCACTTGATTGGTGCGAGAAGCGGGACTGGGTTCCTTCATTAACCCCCGCTCCTTCTGCTGCCTAACCAGCTCCTCTCGCCGTGCCTCTACACTTTCCTTCTGCTCCCTCTGAACCAATGACCCCCTAATCTGGTGGCCTCCTCTGCTAAACAGCGGAACCGCTCTATCGCGGCCTCCTGCTGCCTCGTCGTCCACGGCATGAGCCCCCCCCCTAAAAATTTTTGGGGATTGTCTCTCCCCTGTGATCATGGCCTCCATCCCTCTGGCCAGACTCTCGCTCATCTCCTCCCAAGTCCATCCTCTCTCCTCGTCACGCTGCTTGATCTAGGATTGGTGGGATCTTCTGTCACGATAGTTTACGGACGAGAAGGACCAAGGCGTGATATGCATTCATATTTATTTACGGCTAAACACACGACAAAACAACAAACGAAACGTGAAGTCCAAGGTAGCATACAAACAACATACCTTACACGGAACAAGATCCCACCACTAACAGGTGCCAAAAGGCTGCCTAAGTATGGTCCCCAATCAGAGACAACGAGCTACAGCTGCCTCTGATTGGGAACCACCCTGGCCAACATAGATCTGCACATGCTAGATCTAAAACATAGAAATCAACATAGCAACACACAACACTGAAAATACACACCCTGACTCAACAAATACAAGTCCTCAGAGTCAGGGCGTGACATCAGGTCATTGACCAGGTCCTGCCGTGTAGTTATGGGCTGATCCCTCACCTTCCTCATGATCATTGATGCCCCACAAGGTGAGATCTTGCATGGAGCCCCAGACCGAGGGTGATTGACCGTCATCTTGAACTTCTTCCATTTTCTAATAATTGCGCCAACAGTTGTTGCCAACTCACCAAGCTGCTTGCCTATTGTCCTGTAGCCCATCCCAGCCTTGTGCAGGTCTACAATTTTATCCCTGATGTCCTTACACAGCTCACTGGTCTTGGCCATTGTGGAGAGGTTGGAGTCTGTTTGATTGAGTGTGTGGACAGGTGTCTTTTATACAGGTAACGAGTTCAAACAGGTGCAGTTAATACAGGTAATGAGTGGAGAACAGGAGGGCTTCTTAAAGAAAAACTAACAGGTCTGTGAGAGCCGGAATATCTTACTGGTTGGTAGGTGATCAAATACTTATGTCATGCAATAAAATGCAAATTAATTACTTAAAAATCAGACAATGTGATTTTCTGGATTTTTGTTTTAGATTCCGTCTCTCACAGTTGAAGTGTACCTATGATAACAATTACAGACCTCTACATGCTTTGTAAGTAGGAAAACCTGCAAAATTGGCAGTGTATCAAATACTTGTTCTCCCCACTGTATGTAACCTAGATCATTACTGACTGGATCCTTGGGTCCTTGAGACTAGATTTTCTCTGTTGCATCATTTCCTGTCCTCTGTAGACCATGCGTAGCAATGTCAATCTCTGTGTCTGAGAAGCACCTTCAAGTTACTCTTTAATGATATCGATTTATTCATTGGTAGACTGATTGGTTGATTGATCTCCTCCTGTCCCCGTAGACCAGTGTGGCCAGGTCTCTGTGTGTATCAGAGGAGCTGATCTTCTGTGGCTGTGCTAATGGGATGGTGCGAGCCTTCAGCCCTGCTGACCTGGGGTTCATCTGTACCCTGCCAAGACCACACCACCTTGGCACTGACGTGTCCAGCGTCACACAGGCCAGGTGTGACACATACACACACAAACCTCTGGGTAGAAGTTACCCTTAGGTACAGAGCTAGGATCAGCTTACCCTTCCCAATGCTAACCTTAACTATTAGGCTGGGGAATACGAAACTAACCTTAGATCAGTTTCTAGGGACATCTTTGCAACCCTGTTTTACAACTACATTCTGAGCTGAAGCAGGTTACTCCTGGTACACCATGCATTAAACATAAGTCACACATTACTTCCTTTCTCCCATCAGCCACCTGTTCACCAACAAGATGGCCGCCCACTACCCTGACTCTGTGGCGGTGACCTATGACCCGGTCAGTCATTGGTTGAGCTGTGTGTATAACGACCACAGCCTGTATGTGTGGGACGTCAGGGACCTCCACAGGGTAGGCAAGGTGCACTCTGCCCTCTACCACGCCGCCTGTGTCTGGGACCTACAGGTAAAATGTCAAGATATCAAGAGTAATATTTGAGGGCTGTAGAGATGATTAAGTGACTGTAGTTGAGGCTATATGGAAGTAATTCAGTATGATACAGAGAGAATGTTCCTTTACTATACCATTACTCCATGTGTTCTTCCTCCTCTCTCTGTTCTCAAGATGGTCCCAGAGGCCCCAGAGTCTGGTCTGTCTTCTGGAGAGTTCCTCAGCTGTTCAGCAGACAACACTGTCAGACTGTGGACTACAGAGAGGCAGGGACACACTCATACACAGAATGTTCTTAGTAAGGTATGTGTCCAATATCTAACAGTGTACTCTGATAGATACTGACCCACCTCTGCATGTGAAAAGCTGTATTCTGTTGAGAGAAACTGTTAAACCTCTTGCTGTGTTGTGTTGAGAGAAACTGTTAAACCTCTTGCTGTGGCTCCTGGGAGTCATCTTTCTCCCTCACCCCCGCTGCACTCCAGCCATCCTTCTTTCATCCACTATCTCCGGCCATTCTTCCTTCTTCCATCCTTCCTTTGTTCATCCACCTTTCTACCCCTCAGGACCTGTTGAAGGTGATCTATATGGATGGAAACACCGCCACCCTGGTGGAAACAGAGGGAAGTGTGTCAGTTAGCACAGAGAAGACAGACGGACAGACAGCAGAGACCAGGACAGGCATTAGGACCATCTGTGTCAGCCCCGATGGGAAACACCTGGCGTCTGGAGACCGCAACGGGATGCTGAGGTACGGAACGGGATGAGAATGGGATGGGATAGGAATGGAGTCTGGTTATGTCTGTGCAGAGTGTGTGTTTTTGATGTGTGTGTGTGTTCTGCAGGGTTCATGACCTCAGCAGTATGGCAGAGATTCAGAAGGTGGAAGCCCATGACTCAGAGATCCTGTGTCTGGAATACTCTAAACCAGAGACAGGTCTGAAGCTGTTAGCCACCGCTAGCCGCGACCGTCTGATCCACGTCCTGGATGCTGAGAAAGACTACGGCCTTGTCCAGACCCTGGACGAACACTCTTCATCCATCACCGCCGTCCGATTCGCTGGTGAGTGACCTGTAACTTCCCGACGTCAGAGAGAAAGGCGTCATCATAACGTAAACATCTGTAGAACAGATACAGTCTATGTAGTAAGGTTGGACAGTAGGAGATAGGTACTGTATGTATGATCTTGGTAATTTCAAAGCTCTGTGATTGTTTTCATGGCTATGGTTACGTTGCCTCTCCTCCCTCAGCCAATGACAACACGGTGAGGATGATCAGCTGTGGAGCAGACAAGAGCATCTACTTCCGTACGGCTCACAGGGTAAGACACTCAACATTCAGTCAGGGTACACAGGGTAAGGAACACGTTAGTGTGTCACGTTGCAATTACAGAAGTCCAAAACTTGAGTTGTTCTAAATGCAACGTTATGTAACTAACTGGGATCTCAGTATCTCAACATTTGCAAAAGAGACAACAGTCATCATCATCCACTCTTCATACGTTCCTCCTTCCCTTTTTAAATGTCTCTATTAGGATAATGGATAGAGGAATGGGACTACTGTTAAGTTGTGGAACATGAGTCCATCGCAGGGACAGAGTTCCACTTCCAGACCCAAAAATGTCTTGTTAGCTTCCTGCTAGCACTGCTTTCCCAGTGTAAATATACATTATTTGAGTGGCAGTTTAGGAAACAAACACTGACATCTCTCTTCTCTCTCTCTCTCAATCTGCTCTTCTCTGGCAGTGCTCTCTGTTCCATCTATTAACATGCTCTTTGTTTTTACCAAGTGGCTGCATGTCAGTATTTATCTTAGAGAAATTGCACACGGCCACTGTCTTGATTTTCTGAGTTTTAAAAACATCTGTTACCGTCTATAAGGTAATGTAGCTCTGCTTGTATATGAACTGCAGACACTGAGCGTAGAGTATAGAATACCTTAAGATGATGTTAACATTATTTTTCAAGAGTAAGCTAGATAAATCAACCAAGGTTTTGTTCTCTCCCCCCTCAGACAGACGGAGGTACAGAGTTCAGGCGTACTCACCATGTGGTGAGAAAGACCACTCTGTATGACATGGATGTAGAGCCCAGCTGTAAGTATGCTGCTGTGGGCTGCCAGGACCGATGCATCAGGATCTTCAACATCAGCAGTGGGAAACAGAAGAAACTCTACAAGGGTTCACAGACTGAGGATGGCAGCCTGCTTAAGGTTTAGGATCATTCTACTCGACAACTCTGTCAAAGAAAGATAGAAAATGTCAGCTCACTGTGGCTGCTCCCCAAATAAGTTATTTATGAAGCTTGTGATAGTTACGACGTTTCAACTAGTGATGGGCACTGATATTGTATCATATCTATATCGATATCATTTTGGTTTGACTAAATAACATTGCAACTGTGTGGACTTCACGTCCACGGATTTGTGACGTTCAGACAACTGCATGCCCATTGGGCAGGTCACAGGTGTGAATGTTCTGGGGGCTTAACCTAACCATCCAGTTTGAGTACAATGTGAAGCCTGTTGATGGCCCATCAGCAGGCAGTTAAATATGCTAAATTGAGACCCGGTGAGATGATTCTGTGCCTGCAGGAACAGTCACGTATGACTTTTACATAATAGTGTAGGTTTACAGCAAGGATAAACCGATATCACGATATGCCTGGCTCATATTGATATGAAACAATATCATTTGAATTGTCGATATTGGTGCCCACCTCTAGTTTCAACCTTTATGTTCTGTTTTTCCCCATGCAGGTGCAGACTGATCCGTCTGGTCAGTACGTTGCCACCAGCTGCTCTGATAAGAACATCAGCATATTTGACTTCCGCTCTGGAGTGTGTGTGGCCACCATGTTCGGACACTCTGGTAACAGACCATGACATACTGTACACACACACACATGCTCGCTCGCTCGCTCACTCACTCAAAACAACCTACAAGCCAGCTGATTCTTTCTTTTCCTGTTCTCAGAGATAGTGACTGGGATGAAGTTCACCAACGACTGTAAACATCTCATCTCTGTTTCTGGGGACAGGTAGGACCCCGCCCTGGTGTGTGTGTGAGAGTCTGTCTGTTTGTGTCTGTCTGATGGCCTGTTGTCTATTCCAGCTGTATCTTTGTATGGCGTCTGGCTCCAGAGCTGACCATGAGTATGAGAGAACGTCTCAGACGAACCCCCCTAACACCACCTTGCAACACCTCCACACTCAGGTAAAGGATTGGATGGGTATAAGCAGTAGGGTAACAGTTTCCACAGGTAACCAAGGACTGAACAGACATTTCCCAGTCTCTTAGGGCTGGGCGGTATACCACATTTTACCCATGTAACTCAGTTGGTAGAGCATGGCGCTTGCAACGCCAGGGTTGTGGGTTTGATTTCCACGGGGGGCCAGTATGAAAAAATTGATGCACTCCCTAACTGTAAGTCGCTCTGGATAAGAGCGTCTGCTAAATAACTATTTTTTAATGTAAATATATTTCAATGTTTGGTTTGTTAAATGTGATATTCTACTCCGCCGTGTGCGGCGTCGGTTTTTATAGTTTACTCCGCTACTTGAGTCGTCTCTCTCTCCATTCCGCTTTCCTCACAGACTAAGCCCCGCCCCCTGTCACTCAAAGAGCCACCGCACGTAATTCATCCTCACTCTCCTCTCATCAGGTTACATTTCTGAGCTACTGGAGTACGTTTTTTAAATTTTTGTACTTGATGCCACTCTTCCTCACCACACCGTTTCCCTCTACACTCAGCTCCTTTCCTTGTTCCTCGCTGTCCATTTCTACATCTCCACGCTCTTTCCGCTTCTTCATCCGGTGTAGTAGCAAACTGTTCAAATGGTTCTTGTATCTTGAATTTGCCGCCATGTCACCTCCACATGAATATGTTAGCTACATGAAACCGCTAAGAGAAAACATTTAATGTAGCCAAAGATTATAGGTTCCCCTAGGAAACACTGACCAACACTTTGGTTCTGACCCTGTCACAATAACTCCGCCCTGGCTTTCTCATTCGTTGTCATGTCAAACAACACTGTATTCAAAGTGCCCACTATGATATTCTATCTATAGAATTAGAATAGTCATTCTATTTCTATGATTCCAACAGTTCCCCCAAGTGTTTTGATCTAAATCGCAAGTCAAATCGCAATTGCAATATTTGGCCTAAAAATAAGGCCTAGATTTTTTGGCCATATCATGCAGCCCTACGTGGCAGTGTGGAAATGATCTCAAATGAGTGCAGGAAATGCAGAAATTGATGAAAATGCTGAAACATTTTTTGGGTTGAAGTTTGACTGAACAGTATAAAACAATCAGAATGGAGAATGCCCCATTAACATTTCTTGAAATCTCTTAGAATGTATGTGTTGCCACCCTAGGGTCATGCACTACTCATAAAGCAAATGTTGTACTTTTATTATTCAAAAACATCAAATACCATCACACCATCCAAAAATATAAAAATATCATGATATGATATTGTTGTTGTGTGTGATGTAGGCGTGAGGTGTACAGTGCACCGGATCTTGGTCTGATGTCATCAGAGAGTGACCGTGAGGTGGAGGAGCCAGAGGAGAGGGACGATCCCTGTGACCTGGAACAGATCACAGGAAACAGTAACACCTCCTCAGGGAGTAGCCATGACGATGACGCAGGTACAGAACAGAGTCATCATATCTGGATGTAACATTTCGGCAACTTCTACCTCTAGTGTCTCTACCTTAAATACTGCATTCTTGTCTATTATAGGTGCCTCAGATGAAGGACAGGACTGGGAATCTAAGAAGGTTTGTTGGACACACACACACACACACACACACACACACACACACACACAGTGGTTGCTCCATTCATGCTACTCTCTTTCTTACAATCCCCTACATATTTATTTGGACAGTGACGCTAATTTCCTTAATTTGGCTCTATACTCCAGTATTTGAGATCAAATGTTTTATATGAGGCGGCAGTACAGAATGTCATCTTTTATTAGAGGGTACTTTCATACATATGTGTTTTATAGTTTAGAAATGAAAGCGCTTCATGTACCTACCCAGCTAGGACATAACGTTCTGAGAACCATATGTTTCTTAGAGCTTGGTGAAAGCGTCGTTGTCCTATGGTTATTTTGCATAAAACCTTCCCACAACTTTCTGGGAATGGTGCAGGATAGGTCCTTGGCTTTGGCACATTCCAAGCACATTTAAGGAACTTGAAAAAATAACATTATTTTTTTGGTATATCATTACTTTAACAGAACGTTTCCTAAACGTTCAAACATAGTTACATTTAATTTCAATTTTGATAATGTTCTAGGAACATTCTCCAACTGGTTTGACATTGGGTATGCTCTCAAATAGTTCAGAGAACGTAAAGAAACAACTTTCTTCTGTGGGAATTTCAGTACTTCAGCATAATGTTTCCTACAGGTTTCCTCATGGTTTTATTTAGTCATGTTCTCAAATTGTTCCAACGTTCAGAGAACGTTCTAAGAATGTTATTTGAAAACATATACATTCCGTTCTCAGCATCAACAAAACTCTCCTCTATCTTGTTATGTGTGTGCAGGTGTTTTGGCCGCGCCCACTAATTGGCCACTCCTGATCTTAATGAGTGCTTGTTTCCTTTGAATAGGGATCTGCTTGAATAGATGAACAGCTTTGTATGAGTTAAAAAAACATGGCATGCTAGCTCCATCTTGGTGGTGCAGTGGACTAATTCCATGGATAGAGAACAGAAGATTATAGGTTTGAATCTGACTGATGCTGTTTCACAATAAAAAATACATGTGTTTGCATGATTAATGCCTAAGGAATATAATTTCCATGTGTTTGGAGTTCAAAAAAGTTAACCCAAAATAAGCTAGCATTGTTATTAAAAGTCTTATTGAAACATTCAGTGAAAGCTTAAGGAAGTTATTCATAAACCTCCAAATAACCTATAATTTTAGTTCTCAGAGCGTTAATAAAACCTCCCAGGAAAACTTCTAAGGAACCATAGTAAAATGTTCTCAGAACCTTCCTGCAACCTAAAAATTTATCTTCCCAGAACAGGTGAAATTTTCACTTCCGTTCTCAGAATTTAAAAAAGAAATGTTCAGTTTCACTGATCAGGAAACTTCATTCCCAGAAACAATGGGAAACCAAAAACATACATTCCCACAAATTCTAAGGAACCAAATGTGCTAGCTGGGTACTCCCCCCATTTGAAGGTGTCATAAGTATTTGGAAAAATTCACTTATAGTGTATTACATTTAGTCCAAATTGAGTATTTGGTCCCATATGCCTAGCACGCAATGACTACATCAAGCTTGTGACTCTACAAACTTGTTGGATGCATTTGTTGGATTATGTTGTGCCCAATAGAAATGAATGGTAAATAATGTATTGTGTCATTTTGGAGTTACTTATATTGTAAATAAGAATAGAATATGTTTCTGAACACTTCTACATTCATGTGGATGCTACCATGATTACGGATAATCATTAATGAATCGTGAATAATGATGAGTGAGAAAATTACTGAGGCATAAATATCATACCCCCCCCCCAAAGAATGATGACCTCCTCTATTATTGGTAATGGTGAGAGGTTAGCATGTTTTTGGGGGCATGATCTTTGTGCATCTGTAACTTTCTCACTCATCATTATTCACGATTCATTCATGATTATCCGTAATCATGGTAGCATCCACATGAATGTAGAAGTGTTCAGAAACATTATATTGTTATTTACAATACAATTAATTTCAAAATGACACAATACATTATTTACCATTCATTTCTGTTGGGCACAACATAATCGAAACACAACCAAAACAAACTGCAAATGGGACTAGATACATAAAGTGCATTCATTTCTAAACGGTAAAACAGATATGTATAAAAATACCCTCAAATAAATGTGATCTCGAATCCAAAATGCTGGGGTACAGAGCCAAATTCAACATTTTAGCTTCACTGTCCAAATAAATACTTAGGGGAAGTGTACTTTCTTTCTTTCTTTCCTTCTCTGTCTCTGTCTCTGTCCCTGTGTGTGTGTGTGTGTCTTCCACCTCCCTCCACTCCACTCTCCGCTCCAGGCCCTAGACAGCCCTCTGGCCCCTGAGCCCTCCAGTCGGCCCCGGCGTCGCTGGTCCTGTCGTATGGGCTCTCTGGAACTCATGGTCAAGTCTATGCTGGACCTGAGACAGCTAGAGGCCTTCTCCATCACCGGCTCCTCTCACAAGAAAGGCCCTGCCTCCCGGCTCAAAGCGAGAGACGCAGGGAGCACCTCCAGCCTGCAGGGGACCTCGGTAAGTAGAGAGGCAGAGAGACTGGGAGAGAGGGAAGAGGGAGAGAGAGAGCAGGGGGGGGGGGGGGGAGAAAGAGAGAGAGGGGGCCGCATTCCCCCCTTTTGAAGGCCCTCTGATGGACTCAGTCGGGGTCTGAACTTACTGTTGCGAGTTAGAATGGCAGGGTTGTGGGTTCGTTTCCCACGGGGGGCCAGTATGAAAATGTATGCACTCACTAACTGTAAGTCGCTCTGGATAAGAGCGTCTGCTAAATGACTAAAATGTCAAATGTAAATGTAGAATACACAAGGTGCGATTTTGAAATTTGGTTGTGCATCAGCAGTTTTTCTGTTGTTATGTTAGTCACTGATAGTCAGTCAATTAGCCCATGTCTGCAAATGTATTTTTGTTTGCTAAGTTAGTTTCGCGGCTAGCTATTTTTATCATGGTCTGATTTTGTTAGGCAGTGTCACTCAGATTTACATTTACATTTTAGTAATTTAGCGACTTACAGTTAGTGCATTCATCTTAAGATAGCTAGGTGGGACAACCACATATCACAGGTGGTCGAGGTGAGGAGGATGATTATTTTAAGATAGTGTTTGAAGAGGTAGGGTTTCAGATGTTTTCGGAAGATGGGCAGGTACTCTGCTGTCCTAGCTTCAGGGGGAAGCTGGATCCACCATTGGGGAGCCAGGATATAGGAGAGCTTGGACTGAGCTGAGCGGGAGCTGCCCTCCCGTAGGGGTGGGAGGGCCAAGAGACCCGAGGTGCCAGAACGGAGTGCTCGGGTTGGGGTGTAGGGTTTGAGCATAGCCTGAAGGTAGGGAGGGGCAGTTCCTCTTGCTGTTCCGTAAGTAAGCACCATGGTCTTGTAGTGGATGCGAGTTTCGACTGGAAGCCAGTGGAGTGTGTGGAGGAGCGGGGTGACATGAGAGAACATGGGAAGGTCGAAAACCAGGCGGGCTGCAGCGTTCTGGATAAGTTGCAGGGGTTTGATGGCACAAGCAGGGAGCCCAGCCAACAGCGAGTTGCAGTAGTCCAGACTGGAGAGGATGAGTGCCTGGATTAGGACCTGTGCTGCTTCCTGTGTGAGGTAGGGTCGTACTCTAGGGATGTTGTAGAGCATGAACCTGCAGGAGCGGGTCACTGCTTTGATGTTTGCAGAGAACAACAGGGTGTTGTCCAGGGTCACGCCAAGGTCGAGGTTGAGCTTGAGGTGGTGGGCCGACATCCAAGTTGAGATATCTGCCAGGTACGCAGAGATGCGTGTCGCTACCTGGGTGTCAGAAGGGGGGAAGGAGAAAAGTAGTTGAGTGTCATCCGCATAGCAATGATAGGAGAGACCATGTGAGGATATGACAGAGCCGAGTGACTTGGTGTATAGAGAGAAGGGGAGAGGGCCTAGAACCGAGCCCTGGGGGACACCAGTAGTGAGAGTACATGATGCAGACACAGATCCTCTCCACGTCACCTGGTAGGAACGGCCTGCCAGGTAGGATGCAGTAAAAATGTGTGCGTAGCCTGAGAAGCCTAGCCCTGAGAGGGTGGAGAGGAGGATCTGATGGTTCATGGTGTCGAAGGCAGCGGATAGATCTAGGAGGATGAGAACAGAGGAGAGAGAGTCAGCTTTGGCAGTGCAGAGATCCTCCGTGACACAGAGAAGAGCAGTCTCGGTTGAGTGACCCATCTTGAAGCCTGACTGGTTAGGGTCAAGAAGATCATTCTAAGAGAAATAATGAGAAAGTTGTTTTCGGGGGGGTGGGGGGGTATGGACGTGGGTAGGCAGGCATCAATGTTGCCCATCCCTGATCGATAGCTAATAGATTAGTAAAATATTATAGACAGGTAGATGGACTTGAATTTGGTTCTCTCTAACCCTAATGCTCCTCTGTTCTGTGTTATAAGCTGGACTTGGAGGAGCGGGTTAAGAGACGTCAACCTCAACCCCACTATGCTGCCTGGCTGACCCCTAACGCCAACCCTAACCCTGACTCTGACCTGGGCTCCCAGGGGTCTGATGGACGTGTGCTGTACCCCGAGGGGAGCGATTACGCTGCCAGCCGACGGGGCAGGTACACCTCACACACACACACATAAGGACACATACTATGCATAGATACACACACCACTTCAACTTTCAATTTCTCCTTTCATGTTCCTCTTTATCTATCAACTTGCTGTCTCTGTGTCTCTCTCTTATCTTTTGACTATCTCTTCTTTTTGTCTTCTCACTGTTCATTCCTTCTTTCTCCCCTATCTTCCCCCCTCTCTCTTTCTCTCTCTCTCCCCTATCCCCCCTCTCGCTCTCTCTCTCACTCAGTGATTACCTGATGAAGGAGTCGCCCCGCGGCCTGGGTAGGAGGAACCGTGAGCCGGAGAGCCAGGACAGCCAGAGCCCAGACAGTGCCTGTTCTGTGGGCTACGGGAGTAGAGAGCTTACTCCTGACCCGGATCATGGAGGTAAGAGCATACACACACACACACACACACACATACACATACACATACACATACACATACATACACACTCCTTTCACCTTTGTACTTTGACCTCTCCTCCCAGACTCTGAGGGCACAGCAGAGCCTCTAAGCTCAGACGAGGACAGTTCTGACCTGGAGGACGAAGAGGATGAGGAGGAGGAGGAGAGGAAGATGGAAAGTTCTAGTATGGATGAGGCGATGAGGAAGGTCTCTGACCCACTAGAGGACAGTCACCATGAGGCCTTCCTCAGACAGCACTTTGAAACACTGGCTGAGCCCAGCAATATGGGTAAGAGAGGACACATGCACACACTCCAACTTTGCACATGGAGGTGACATTCTACCCATAAACTGTTGTACAGGTACATATTACAATTATTTGACTGTAATTACCCTCCTCCCCAGAAGAGCGCAGTAGAGCTCCCAGCATCAGTATGTCAGCACGATTCCTGGCCAGAGGCTCCAACAACAGGTAATAGAGCTCACCAGCTTGTAGTCATAAAAAACGGAAATGAGTTAGCATTTTCTACCTCTGGTTCGTTGGCCATTCCTATGGGATAAATTAATAGGGAAAGAATGGGGTTTTGGGATAAATGCTGAAAATAAGGTCTGAGGTTAACACAGGCTTAGGGGGCGGCAGGTAGCTTAGTGGGTAAGAGCGTTGTGCCAGTAACCGAAAGGTCGCTGGTTCTAATCCCCGAGCCGACTAGGTGAAAAATCTGTCGATGTGCCCTTGAGCAAGGCACTTAACCCTAATTGCTCCTGTAAGTCGCTCTGGATAAGAGCGTCTGCTAAATGACTGTAAATGTAAAATGAGATTTTAGACTTTTTTTCTCTATGAGATAATATCAGTCAGTCAACATGACCTTTATGAATTATGAAACCTTTATGTGCTTGTTTTGATTACAGAAATGCTTCAAAATGCTCAAAACGGGATATTAGCTGATTTAGATTATCACATAGAACAAAACGTATAAGATCTCCTAAGCCTGTGTTTACCACAGCATTTATCCCAAAAAACTCCAAAAAACTCATTCAGAGGCTTTGGCCAACAAGCCATGGTGGGGTTAGCCTCTGTTAGTGTTTACAAAAAGACACCATCACTATTGCTCTCTATGGGATAACCAAGGGATCCTAAAGACTTTAACACACATACAGTGGGGGAAAAAAGTATTTAGTCAGCCACCAATTGTGCAAGTTCTCCCACTTAAAAAGATGAGGCCTGTAATTGACAGACAAATTGAGCATTTTTTTCTCCAGAAAATCACATTGTAGGATTTTTTATGAATTTATTTGCAAATTATGGTGGAAAATAAGTATTTGGTCACCTACAAACAAGCAAGATTTCTGGCTCTCACAGACCTGTAACTTCTTCTGTAAGAGGCTCCTCTGTCCTCCACTCGTCACCTGTATTAATGGCACCTGTTTGAACTTGTTATCAGTATAAAAGACACCTGTCCGCAACCTCAAACAGTCACACTCCAAACTCCACTATGGCCAAGACCAAAGAGCTGTCAAAGGACACCAGAAACAAAATTGTAGACCTGCACCAGGCTGGGAAGACTGAATCTGCAATAGGTAAGCAGCTTGGTTTGAACAAATCAACTGTGGGAGCAATTATTAGGAAATGGAAGACATACAAGACCACTGATAATCTCCCTCGATCTGGGGCTCCACGCAATATCTCACCCCGTGGGGTCAAAATGATCACAAGAACGGTGAGCAAAAATCCCAGAACCACACGGGGAACCTAGTGAATGACCTGCAGAGAGCTGGGACCAAAGTAACAAAGCCTACCATCAGTAACACACTACGCCGCCAGGGACTCAAATCCTGCAGTGCCAGACGTGTCCCCCTGCTTAAGCCAGTACATGTCCAGGCCCGTCTGAAGTTTGCTAGAGTGCATTTGGATGATCCAGAAGAGGATTGGGAGAATGTCATATGGTCAGATGAAACCAAAATATAACTTTTTGGTAAAAACTCAACTCGTCATATTTGGAGGACAAAGAATGCTGAGTTGCATCCAAAGAACACCATACCTACTGTGAAGCATGGGGGTGGAAACATCATGCTTTGGGGCTGTTTTTCTGCAAAGGGACCAGGACGACTGATCCGTGTAAAGGAAAGAATGAATAGGGCCATGTATCGTGAGATTTTGAGTGAAAACCTCCTTCCATCAGCAAGGGCATTGAAGATGAAACGTGGCTGGGTCTTTCAGCATGACAATGATCCCAAACACACCGCCCGGGCAACGAAGGAGTGGCTTCGTAAGAAGCATTTCAAGGTCCTGGAGTGGCCTAGCCAGTCTCCAGATCTCAACCCCATAGAAAATCTTTGGAGGGAGTTGAAAGTCCGTGTTTCCCTAGCGACAGCCCCAAAACATCACTGCTCTAGAGGAGATCTGCATGGAGGAATGGGCCAAAATACCAGCAACAGTGTGTGAAAACCTTGTGAAGACTTACAGAAAACGTTTGACCTGTGTCATTGCCAACAAAGGGTATATAACAAAGTATTGAGAAACTTTTGTTATTGATTAAATACTTATTTTCCACCATCATTTGCAAATAAATTCATTAAAAATCCTACAATGTGATTTTCTGGATTTTTTTCTTCTCATTTTGTCTGTCATAGTTGACGTGTACCTATGATGAAAATTACAGGCCTCTCTCATCTTGCACAATTGGTGGCTGACTAAATACTTTTTTCCCCCACTGTACATACGGAAGCCCATGTATACTTTCACATGTACGCAACACCAACAAAGCTTTTTTTCATTGTCTACATTTGCTTTCACCCTGCCTAGTACAGGACAGTCGTGGTCAAAAGTTTTGAGAATGACACAAATATTAATTTTCACAAAGTCTGCTGCCTCAGTTTTTATGATGGCAATTTGCATATACTCCAGAACGTTATGAAGAGTGATCAGATGAATTGGAATTAATTGCAAAGTCCCTCTTTGCCATGAAAATGAACTTAATCCAAAAAAAACATTTCCACTGAATTTCAGCCCTGCCACAAAAGGACCAGCTGACATCATGTCAGTGATTCTCTCGTTAACACAGGTGAGAGTGTTGACGAGGACAAGGCTGGAGATGACTCTGTCATGCTGATTGAGTTAGAATAACAGACTGGAAGCTTTAAAAGGAGGGTGGTTCTTCCTCTGTTCAAAGTCTCTTCCTCATTGTTCTTCCTCTGTCAACCATGGTTACCTGCAAGGAAACACATGCCGTCATCATTGCTTTGCACAAAAAGGGCTTCACAGGCAAGGATATTGCTGCTAGTAAGATTGCCCATAAATCAACCATTTATTGGATCATCAAGAACTTCAAGGAGAGAGGTTCAATTGTTGTGAAGAAGGCTTCAGGGCGCCCAAGAAAGTCCAGCAAGCGCCAGGACCGTCTCCTAAAGTTGATTAAGCTGCGGGATCGGGGCACCACCAGTGCAGAGCTTGCTCAGTAATGGCAGCAGGCAGGTGTGAGTGCATCTGCACGCACAGTGAGGCGAAGACTATTGGAGGATGGCCTGGTGTCAAGAAGGGCAGCGAGGAAGCCAATTCTCTCCAGGAAAAACATCAGGGACAGACTGATATTCTGCAAAAGGTACAGGGATTGGACTGCTGAGGACTGGGGTAAAGTCATTTTCTCTGATGAATCCCCTTTCCGATTGTTTGGGGCATCCGGAAAAAAGCTTGTCCGGAGAAGACAAAGTGAGCGCTGCCATCAGTCCTGTGCCAACATTAAAGTATCCTGAGACCATTCATGTGTGGGGTTGCTTCTCAGCCAAGGGAGTGAGCTCACTCACAATTTTGCCTAAGAACACAGCCATGAATAAAGAATGGTACCAACACATCCTCCGAGAGCAACTTCTCCCAACCATCCAAGAACAGTTTGGTGACGAACAATGCCTTTTCCAGCATGATGGAGCACCTTGCCATAAGGCAAAAGTGATAACTAAGTGGCTCGGAGAACAAAACATCGAAATTCTGGGTCCATGGCCAGGAAACTCCCCAGACCTTAATCCCATTGAGAACTTGTGGTCAATCCTCAAGAGGCGGGTGGACAAACAAAACCCTACAAATTCTGACAAACTCCAAGCATTGATTATGCAAGAATGGGCTGCCATCAGTCAGGATGTGGCCCAGAAGTTAATTGACAGCATGCCAGGGTGGATTGCAGAGGTCTTGAAAAAGAAGGGTCAACACTGCAAATATCGACTCTTTACATAAACTAAATGTAATTGTCAATAAAAGCCTTTGACACTTATGGAATGCTTGTAATTATACTTCAGTATACCATAGTAACATCTGAAAAAAATATCTAAACACTGAAGCAGCAAACTTTGTGAAGACCAATACTTGTGTCATTCTCAAAACTTCACTGTAACCAGGTGATGTCCTCTCTACAGGAGAATCCCTCTGTTTTCCAAAGCTCATGAGAGGGAGCAGGGGCCCTTGGTGTCCAAGGTGAGGCCCCTGATGGAGGAGAGCCAGGTAAAGGGCCACGAAGACAGGGAGAGGCCCATGACCCCTGGGAGAGGGCAGGAGGGGACAAAGTGAGTAGCTTTAGAGAGGATGTAAGACTCTTTAAACAGGTCGTTTTTTTTGTGATAATTATTTGTAAGTAAAAATGGTATCAGATATTTGTAAAAATAATGATACAAAGGAAATTCGATTGATTGGTTGATTGATTGATTGATGAAGCTTCCCTCCTTGTGTCAGGCTGGAGGTGTGTGCTCCAGAGAGGGGCACCGTGCTGCGTTCCCACCCCCAGAAGAAGAGGCCTCTTGGGGCTCATCTGTGGAGGATGTCAAGCCCCCTGGCCAGAGCTCCAGCCCTGCTGGACAGAGCAGCTGGACTACAGAAGTCCCAGTCTGTACAGAACCTGGCAACAGAGGGTGAGCTGCTCAGGACCACTGATGTTCAGTACAGCACATACATTATAACACTGTACATATTAATAACCTAACCTCAGAGGGGGAGTACAGCACAAGCCACATGATCTCAAAACAAGATTGAGGGTTTATCAGTAAACAACTGTCTAAATATATACATGTGACATTTAAAAATACACTGATCAAAAAAATAAAGGGAACACTTAAACAACACATCCTAGATCTGAATGAATGAAATAATCTTATTAAATACTTTTTTCTTTACATAGTTGAATGTGCTGACAACAAAATCACACAAAAATGATCAATGGAAATCAAATTTATCAACCCATGGAGGTCTGGATTTGGAGTCACCCTCAAAAATAAAGTGGAAAACCACACTACAGGCTGATCCAACTTTGATGTAATGTCCTTAAAACAAGTCAAAATGAGGCTCAGTAGTGTGTGTGGCCTCCACGTGCCTGTATGACCTCCCTACAACGCCTGGGCATGCTCCTGATGAGGTGTTCCCTTTGTTTTTTTGAGCAGTGTAGTTTACATTACATTGGTTGTCTAATTGACAGTAAGCAGCATAAAAAAATAAAGTATATCCAGTCACTGTCTCTCTACTGTCTCATGACCCTTCCCATGACTCTCCCCCTGCTCCCCCCCCACCCCATAGTTCCCCGCTCCCCCAACCCCTCCAGTGGTAGAGGAGAGATGTGCCCTCGCCCCCAGCACCTCCCCTTCGATATACACCCTTCCAAAGCCAACTCCTGCCTCCCTTCTACCTCTCCTCTCTCCTCCCTTGTCTCCCCTGTGCCCTCGGAAAGCCCCAAGCTCAGATCCCCCCGCACCTACATGAGTCCCACCACCAGCTCCGTGGCCAAGACCAGCCGCTCTGCATCCCTGGCAGAGGGCTTCCATCTGGGCTTACTGTCCTGCCATGATTCCGTAACATCACAAGGCCTGGAGGATGGTAGTGGAGGGAGTGGAAACACACCTAACAGCCCCAAGAGCAGGAAGCCTTTTGGGGGGCTACTGGAGGCTGAACCACCCCTCCTCACTTCCTCCTCTCTCTGTTCCCGCTCCTCTTCTCTCTCTCCCCCTTCTCCTCCCTGTCCTCTCCCTGGTCCCTCCCCTTTTCCACCACGTGCGACAGTCTCGCCCAATCCCAGCTTGGCGTTGCCCCTGAGCGTCCAGCCCTCCCGCATTCCCCTGCCCATCAAACAGCCACTCAGCCCTCGGTGCAGCCTCTGCCCGGAGACCAAACCTCAACCTGATTGGTCTGTTTCCTCTACAGGAGACCTTGCCCTCAGGAAACAACACCAAAGTAAGCCAGAATTATTTTTGTAAAGTTTAAAGTTTATTAGAGGACATCATCGCAAAGCAAGTATGAAATGTGATGTTTTTTACGTGTTGTGGATGTTATAGATACAGAAAAGTGTTGATTAAAGGAATATTTAGTAAACTTAATGTAAAGGCATAATCAACCTGGGTCTGTCTGTCTCTGCAGCCTTCAGCAAACGCCTCTCCCTGACTACGGCCCAGATGCAAGGGCTTCTGGGTAACGTCCAGCTGCTGTCCATCTCACCTACCTCACTTCCTGTAAAGCAGGAAGGAACCGTGAACTCAGAGAGGTAAACTGTAGTCTGTTTACTTAGGATACATCTCAAATGGCACCCTTATAAATTCTCCATAGTGCAGTATGTTTGGCTAGAAAACAAAGTAGTAAAATATTTGGTGACTATGGTGTCGTTTGAGACAAGCCCCCTAATACAACAATACATTCCAAACACTCAAAGTTTCCCCATGAAACCTTTCCTTTCCTTTCCGTTCTCAGTGCTCCAGATTTGGAGGAGGCGGTGTGTAGAGAGCCCCTTCTAGTGTCTGTCCAGGCCAACACCTTGACCTCCGACCCCCAGCCAGGTCTGAATCAACGCAGACGCTCCTCTATCATCCTCACCGCCACTCTTCCTCTCCATCACGCCATCTCTCTACCGCTTCATCCTTCTCTTCATCATAAGTGTCCGTGTGCTTTCTGGCAGGTCTGTCCATCTGTCTCTGTCCCTCCCTACTGTCACCACTGCTGCCTGAAAGGTGAGTCAGCTTCATTCCTTTCTGCTTTCAAACCTTCCCTTTGCCTATTTGAATGTGATTTTCTCTTATTTACTAACTCGCATTGTTCGCCTGCTTAAAGCGTATACCAATGCATCCATAACGTGTGTGTTGTATTAGCTCTGTATCTATCCATTATGTGTGTGTTGTACTGTAGCAGGTTTTTGTTTGTTTACTACTCTCAGCTCCTGAATGATTATGAGACACTAGAATGTGTGTTTTCTCCCACAGAGCCCCCTGTCACTGTGGAAACCTGTAGACAGGCTATAACAGAGCTGCACAACAGTGTGAGGAGAGCCACCCAGCTCTATACTACGGTCAGTCTGGTGTGTGTGTGTGTGTTTGTGGGGACCAAAATTCTGACAAGTGGGGACATTTAACCGGTCCCCACAAGGATAAATGCTATTTTAGGGTTAGGGTTACAATTAGGAGGAAGAGTTAGATTTAGTGTTAGGGTTTGGGGTTACGGTTAGGGTTAAGTTTAGGGTTAGGTTAGGGGTTAGGGAAAATGGGATTTTGAATAGGAATCAATTGTGTGGTCCGCACAAGGACAGTATATGGCGCCGGAGGAGATGGCTGCCATTTTGCGGGTTTCTAACCAATTGTGCTATTTTGTGGGTTTTTTCGCATTGTTTGTAACTTATTTTGTACATAATGTTTCTGCCACCGCCTGTTATGACCGAAAAGAGCTTCTGGATATCAGAACAGGGATTACTCACCTCAAACTGGACAAAGATTTTTTCTTTAACGAGTCGGACGCGAAGGATTTACTCCAGATACCCGACCAGGCCCAGGCCCAAATCCCTGTCATTCACATGAAGAGAAGACACCGATACAGGAGACGTAGGTCCGGGTAGGTCCGGGTGCCTTGTGAGAATTCGTCGGCGAGTGGGTAACCCGACTCTACCATCCGTCCTATTGGCCAACGTGCAATCATTGTAGAATGAACTGGATGAGCTCCGTTCAAGACTATCCTACCAACGGGACATTTAAAAACTGTAATATCTTATGTTTCACCGAGTCGTGGCTGAACGACGACATGGATAATATACAGTTGGCTGGTTTTCCCGTGCATCGGCAAGACGGAACAGCTGCCTCCGGTAAGACAAGGGTTGGCGGTCTGTGTCTATTTGTCAATAACAGCGTGAAATCAAATATTAAGGAAGTCTCTAGGTTTTGCTCGCCTGAGGTAGAGTATCTCATGAGAACCTGTAGACCACACTATTTACCAAGAGCGTTTTTATCTATATTTTTCATAGTTGTCTATTTACCACCACAAACCGATGCTGGCGCTAAGACCGCACTCAATGAGCTGTATAAAGTCATAAGCAAACAAGAAAATGCTCATCCAGAGGCAGCACTCCAAGTGGCCGGGGACGTTAATGTAGGGAAACCAGCATGTTACATGTGCAATAAGAGGAAAAAAAAACTCTAGACCACATTTACTCCACACACAGAGACGCGTACAAAGCTCACCCTCCATTTGGCATATCTGACCATAATTCTATCCTCCTGATTCCTGCTTACAAGTAAAAATTAAAGCAGGAAGTACCAGTGACTCGCTCAATACGGAAGTGGTCAGATGACGCAGATGCTAAGTTACAGGACTGTTTTGCTAGCACAGACTGGAATATGTTCCGGGACTCATCCGATGGAATTGAGGACTATAACACATCAGTCACCGGCTTCATCAATAAGTGCATCGATGACGTTGTCCCCACAGTGACCTTATGTACATACACCTACCAGAAGCCATGGATTACAGGCAACATCCGCACTGATCTAAAGGGTAGAGCTGCCGCTTTCAAGGAGCGGGACTCTAACCTGGACACTTATCAGAAATCCCGCTATGCCCTCAGACGAACCATCAAACAGGCAAAGAGTCAATACAGGACTAAGATTGAACCCTACTACACCGGCTATGAAGCTCGTCAGTTGTGGCAGGGCTTGCAAACTATTACTGACTACAAAGGGAAGCCCAGCTGCGAGCTGCCCTGTGACACAAGCCTACCAGACGAGCTAAATGACTTCTATGCGCGCTTCGAGGCAAGCAACAGTGAATTATGCATGAGAGCACCAGCTGTTCCGGACGACTGTGTGATCACGCTCGTCATAGCTGATGTGAGTAAGACCTTTAAATAGGTCAACATTCACAAGGCCGCAGGGCCAGACGGATTACCAGGACGTGTACTCCGAGCATTCTCTGACCAACTGGCAAGTGTCTTCACTGACATTTCCAACCTGTCCCTGGCCGAGTCTGTAATACCAACATGTTTCAAGCAGACCACCATAGTCCCTGTGCCCAAGAACACCAAGGTAACCTGCCTAAATGACTACCGACCCGTAGCACTCACGTCTGTAGCCATGAAGTGCTTTGAAAGGCTGGTCATGGCTCACATCAACATTGCATACCGCTCCAACAGATCCACAGATGACGCAATCTCTATTGCACTCAACACTGCCCTTTCCCACCTGGACAAAAGGAACACCTACGTGAGAATGTTGTTCATTGACTACGGCTCAGTGTTCAACACCATAGTGCCATCGAATCTCAATACTAAGCTAAGGACCCTGGGACTAAACGCCTCCCTCTGCAACTGGATCCTGGCCTTCCTGATGGGCCGTTCCCAGGTGGTAAAGGTAGGCAACAACACATCCGCCACGTTGATCCTCAACACGGGGACCCCTCATGGGGGTGCGTGCTTAGTCCACTCCTGTACTCCCTGTTCACCCATGACTGCGTGGCCAAGCATGACTCCCAACACCATCATTAAGTTTTCCGACGAGACAACGGTGGTAGGCCTGATCACCGACAATGATGAGACAGCCTAAAGGGAGGAGGTCAGAGACCTGGAGGTGTGGTGCCAGGACAACAACCTCTTCCTCAACGTGATCAAGACAAAGGAGATGATCGTGGATTACAGGAAAAGGAGGGCCGAGCACGCCCCCATTCTCATCGACAGGGCTGTAGTGGAGCAAGTTGAGAGTTTCAAGTTCCTTGGTGTCCACATCACCAACAAGCTATCATGGTCCAAACACACCAAGACAGTCGTGAAGAGGGCACGACAATGCCGATTCCCCCACAGGAGACTGAAATGATTTGGCATGTGTCCTCAGATCCTCAAAAAGTTATACAGCTGCACCATTGAGAGCATCCTTACTGGTTGTATCACCGCCTGGTATGGCAACTGCTCGGCATCCGACCGCAAGGCGCTACAGAGGGTAATGCGTACGGCTCAGTACATCACTGGTGCCAAGCTTCCTGCCATCCAGGACCTCTATACCAGGCGGTGTCAGAGTTAGGCCCTAAAAATTGCCAAAGACTCCAGCCACCCTAGTCATAGGCTGTTCTCTCTGCTACCGCACGGCAAGCGATACCGGAGTGCCAAGTCTAGGTCCAAAAGGCTTTTTAACAGCTTCTACCCCCAAGCCATAAGACTCCTGAACAGCTAATCATGGCTACCCAGACTATTTGCACCCCCACCCCATCTTTTTACACTGCTGCTACTGCATCTGTGTGTGTGTGTGTGTGTGTGTGTGTGTGTGTGTGTGTGTGTGTGTGTGTGTGTGTGTGTGTGTGTGTGTGTGTGTGTGTGTGTGTGTGTGTGTGTGTGTGTGTGTGTGTGTGTGTGTGTGTTTATACCTTGTGTATTTACGATAAAGTATGTCATGTTTCTCTCCAGGTGCTGAGCTGTGGGTCAGAGCTCAATGCAGAGCAGCAGGAGATGGAGACGGTTCTGGCTGATGCTCTGGGAACACTGAAGACTGAACTAGACTCCCTACCTCACCCTGTACATAGAAGCGAAGGGCTCAGGAGGGAGGTAGCAGTGAGGGGGGAGGTAGGGGTCAAAGGTGAGGGGGACAGGACATTGGCTCTCCTGCGGCAGTATTCTGAGCTCATATTAAAGTCAGTGGAGAAGAGACTGGACAACAAGATCTAAAAAGGATACATACACAGAAGACGCATACAACCAGACATGCATATGAATGAAATGCATATTACACATATGAAAATACACACAGACAGGAAGCGCACAATAATGAACAAATCGTAACTATGAGAACCAGACACTTCCTCATAGAAAAGTTAATACAATTGCAAAAAATGAATAAATAGAGTGAAGACGGACAAATTAGTTAAGAATGAATGACATTTAAGATTCTCGTGTGCTTTTTTAAATTTCTCCTGTGTATTTCCTTTATATGACTCAGTATTTCTGCAATGTTGAGGAAGAGCTTGTAAGCAATCGTTTCACTGAACTTTTTACACCTGCTTTATCCTGTGCACTTGACAAATAAACTCTGATTTGATTTTGATTTGATTTTGAATGGATGGAGGGAGTACTGAAGGTAGGAAAAATGAATGAATGCTGGGACTGCACTGTGGGCAAATGTGATGTACTATCCACTGTTGAAGAAAATGGAGTGACAATAAATCCTTTATGCCTGTTTTATCCTTTTAACTGTGAATTCTCCAAATGTTTTTTAGCTTGCACAGCAAGGGTAGACATGTTTACATTCACTGTAATTGTGCGATGGTACTGTGACTTTTCTCAATGATCATACTGTTTGTCTTACTCTGCATGTTTTGGAATCTATGCTTAATGTCTCTATTTCCCCTGATTTTACTGTGTGTGTTATGTGTGAATGTGATTTGTTTGTGTGCATTGAGTTGACTGTCAAGCCTGTCTTGATATTGCAGTTGTGTGAGAGGTCGGATTCAATAAAGTATTTAAAACAGAACTTCATTAAATTTAATGGTTTTATTTCATACAATTTTACATTTACATTTTAGTCATTTAGCAGGCGTTCTTATCCAGAGCAACTTACAGTAGTGAGTGCATACATTTTCATACTTTCTTACCATACTGTTCCCCAGTGGGAATTGAACCCACAACCCTGGCGTTGCAAGCGCCATGCTCTACCAACTTATTTTCTTATTTACAGTGGCAAAAGTTAACCCAGCTGGTTAGATTCTAAAAACTACCCCTGGAGGATGCTGAATCCTCTCATATAGAGACGTTCATTGAATTAGTGTAATGCACTGTAACTACTGATATCTTTAGTCAGTTCATAGGCATAAAGTATGTTTACTTACATAGACATTCAACAGAAAATAGTTATAGCAAATATAAGAATTACAATTAAATGGCATTGTTGAATTCTTAGGCCTTCATAACATTACACACATTCGCACATGGAGTGGTTGTTTGTAGAGTTAGTGGGAATTAATGTGGTATTAAGTGTACAGCTCATCATCATCATCATAAAACAGGTGCAAATACAAAATGCAGATTGATGCCATGTTATGCATGTAGCCTATGATGGGTGTTATATACTGTATAGTGATGTCATGGTATTGTGTCTACGTTGATGGAGGTGAGGATGACATCATAGAGGATGTTGATGCGATCGATCTGGTTGAGTTCTTTGACGCGGTGTTTAAACTCAAACAGCTGAGCTCCGTTCACAGCCACCTTAAACTCCCCAGACGTAACCAGAATCTTCATCTGAAAGGAAAGACAAACACTCTTAAAGATGCACTATGCAGAAATCACTCCGCCATTTCCTGGTTGCTAAAATTCTAATAGTTCTCATTTCAGTTTATGTGACAAAACAAGCAAGTATAGTGTAGAGACTCATTGTACCATCTTAACACAGGAGGCTGCTGAGGGGAGGACGGCTCATTATAATGGCTGGAATGGAGCTAATGGAATGGCGTCAAACACATGAAAACCAAGTGTTTGATGTGTTCCATTTACTCTGTTCCATTCATTACTATGAGCCGTTCTCCCCAATTAAGGTGCCATTGACCACCAGTGCATCTAATTTAATAGGCAGTACAGTATGGGCTACAGTTGCACTGCTGTAATGAATATTCCCACTGACCTCGAAGGACTGTCCTGCCATGAAGGGGAAGCTTCCTTGTGTGTGCCTCTCCTCCTTCCCCCAGTGCTCTCCCACCTTGGTGTTCCTCACCACTGCCTGCTTGCCCCCCTCATTGAACCGAGAGTTGAGGTGGAAGGCGATGTCGTTACCTCGTAGAAAGTTGACTGTGAACCTGGAGGGGATACGACCAAAAAAACTAATCAAAAGGGATGTTTAATTGATCAGATTGGTCAAGACATTAGATAGTGTGGTCCTCTGTAGCTCAACTGGTAGAGCACGGCGCTTGAAACGCCAAGGTAGTGGGTTCGAGCCCCGGGACCACCCATACACAAAAATGTATGCATGCATGACTGTAAGTCGCTTTGGATAAAAGCGTCTGCTAAATGGCATATTATTATTATTATAGTGAAAACAAGCCACTGTCATCAGATGAAGGCAGCTGACATGTTCAGAACAATCACCTTTACAAAATGACACGTATGTTAACAGTTGTTCATGTAACATACTGGTGATGTGTAGAGCGTCCAATGCTTCCACTGGGTCTCTCAGGGATCTTATTAATCCCAGTAAACAACAAAGGCCGTAGTAGACTATGGTAATTGATGAACTCACTGCTTAGCATTTGGTTTGACCTGGCCCATGATGGTGATCATCATCTTGTCGTAGATGCCTCTTTGCAGGTTCAGGTTGTAGGGCACATTCTATACACCAACACAACACACAGACATTTAGGATATGGCACTATCTTCACACCAACACAATTTATTGCAAATTTCCTCCTTCCATCCACTGAAGAAACATCCTTCCCTCCCTCCTTGTCTCTCACCAGTACAGCTGGTGTCGGATTCCACTGTGGAGCAGGTGTGAAGCCACTTGGGTCCTGACCAGGGCCTAATGGCCATCCAGACCCTGGGTCAAGGCCTGGGACTGGCCACCCTGGGACACTAGGCTGGCTGGGGCCCTGGGCCTGGGCTTGAATCAGAGCTGGGCCTTGAGGTTGAAAATGCTGGGGTGCAGTCTGAGGCTGGGGGTGGGGTCCAGGCCAGCATGGCTGGCAGGGATGGGCTGGTTGGGGTGGTTGTGGTTGGGGACCAGGCCAGTTTTGGGATGGAGCTGGGGCTGGTTGGGATGGTTGCGGACCAGGCCAGTTCCAGTTTTGGGTTGGAGCTGGGACTGGTTGTGATGGCTGTGGCCCAGGCCAGTTTTGAGCTGGGGCTGGTTGGGATGGCTGTTGCCCAGGCCAGCAGGGGGTGTTGGGCTGCCCAGGAAAACAAGGCATTGGCTGAGGTTGAGCCGGAGCTGGGGCTGGTTGGGATGGTTGTGGACCAGGCCAGCAGGGGGTGCTGGGCTGCCCAGGAAAGCAGGGCATGGCCTGGGGTTGGGTGGGCTGTTGGCCGGGCTGTGTCGGCCAGACAGGACCCCCTGGTTGCTTCTGACTGGGCCAGATACCATTGCTTCCCTGGGGGGTAGAACCAGAGGATGGACAGCCACACAGAGCGTCAGAGAGCTGGGGTGGGGTCAAGATGAATACACACACACACACAGTCAAAGATACACACATGCACACTGGCACCGACACTCATGCACACACTCCCATACATACAGACACAGACACACAGACACAAACACAGAAAGACTACTTCCACACAATACTTCAAGAATACTGAGACAGTTCCTTTCAGGGATAGTTCTCAGTTGTTAGTTGTCAGTGTAGAGGTTGGAGGAGGTGAGGTACTTACTTCCATTGTATCTGTAAGTAAAGAGAGAACAGCATCACTACGATTTTTTATCTTCATCAGAAACGGAAGCAGTGTTGCAGCCATGTTCCCCTAACATCAAAAAAGAATCACTCTAGCAACTCACCACTGTCAGATCATCGGGCATTCAGTTCAAGTTAATTGTTTTCCACAGTTTCTTCCCTGATTATACCAGCTTATACTAAGGGACATTAGAGCGGGACAGTCCCAGTCCCCAAGCTCTAAAGTACCAACTGACAGCTCAGCAAAAATAAGCAATAGTTTGGAAACATTCCTCAGTGAATTAAAATCGGCTCACAACATCCCTGTATTATTGTAGACCAAGTCCCACACTACTCATAGATAGGGTATGACGGTAGAAGGCTCCCCTAAAGACCATTGTAACACCTGAGTAAAGACCATTGTAACACTTCAGTAAAGACCATTGTAACACTTCAGTAAAGACCATTGTAACACTTAATTAAAGACCATTAAACTCTTCAGTAAAGACCATTGTAACACTTGGAGGAAATTGACATAATATGGCACCTAATGCATAATCAAGCCCTTAGTAAGGAATGTGTATGGAACTGTGAATCTGTTGTCTGTAATCATTATGCCACAGTCACACAAGTGACTGTCCTCTCCTCCAGGCACATCAGATTCCACAGATATCTACTCACCAATTACATCATTACCTGATTACCTGCCCTCGGACTAGTCTTGTATTTGCTGTGCATTGTCTTTGTCTTATAGACTATAACATGACTGCAATTATGATATGGATGCATAGTATAAGATAGGCTACCATTCTATAATAGGCCTCCAAACCATTACTGCAGTCATGCCCAAATAAGTTGATTACCTTTTCTCAGTAGCTACTATAAGAAGCAACAATTCAGTCTAACATATTTGGTTTGTATATTTCTTTGTCATTCAGAATGGGACATTCAAGCCATAATGTCCTAGAGTTCTTAGTCTTATTTCGCTCAGTAGCTACTTTTGAACATTCCATAGATCAGCACAAATGTTTCTTTACAATCATTTTTAAATGTTTTCAAACAGTATGCTGAACAAGTCTAATCTGTCTCGTAGAAAATGTCTGTGCATCATTGTACAATTCATTTTTCTATTCAGCAAGGTCTTTTCATACTGCGAAAAGTTGGTTTACCAAAGGAGAACTTTTGGACTGCAGCATAGGGCTGAGCGCCATTTCACACTTGCACACGCTAAAGTCGGATAACACCAACCTTAGTCCAGGACTAAATTGGCACGGCTGCAGAGCAGAGCATGCACCAACTTTTTTTTTGGGGGGGGGGGGGAAACCTATGTCAGAGATCAGCCAATATTTATTTGGAATATTCTCTCACTAGCCTAGCGGCTAAGCGCATTGGGCCAGTAACTCAAAGGTCGCTGGGTCGGATCCCCGAGCCGGCATACTGGAAAAATCTGCCCTTCTACCCTTGAGTAAGGTAGTTAACCCCCAACATCAACTGCTCCCTGGGCGACGATGACATGCATGTCGATTAAGGCAGCTCCCCCGCGCTTCTCTGATTCAGAGGGGTTGTGATAAATGTGGAAAACACATTATAGATTAATGCGTTCAGTTGTGCAACTGACCAAGTTTCCCCTTCAATCTATCATGAAATATGATTCTACACAGCTGGAGCAAAACTTTGTTTAAAATTGCAACACACTGTACAATAAAATACGATAAGAGCTCCCATGTCAAAAAAATTTCTATCTCATCAATGGGACAAAACAATCTCAAACTCAGTCTCAATACATAAATGTATCTTATGTTACCTGTTATTCGCTGCGCTTCTCAGGTGTAACACTGTAGAACCAAGTTGTTGCTGTGTTGTTGAGGTGACAGCTAGACAGCTATAGCAGGAATCTACACACACATTTATAAACTCCTTTATACCTTCCTTCCCTTTTTCATTTGGCCAGTCCTTTATTCCCAACTCTTCTGGAAGAACCACGCCCCGGGGGAAAGATTCCCTGTCATAACATTTCCCTTATCAAACTATGATCTTCAATCTTACCTATATAAAAATGTTCATTATAAAAAAAACAGTGGGCCAATATATTTCTTTAATATCACGTAGGCTGTCTTAAATGAAAATCTATCAATTGGATGTAGGATATAATTAATAATTTAGTGCCTTCAGAAAGCATTCACACCCCTTGACTTTTCCCACATTTTGTTGTGTTAAAGCCTGCATTTAAAATGGATTAAACTGAGATGTTTTGTCACTGACCTACACACAATATCCCACATTTTGTACAAATCAATTAAAAATGAAAATCTGAAATGTCTTGAGTCAATAAGTATTCAACCCGTGTGTTATGGCAAGCCTAAATAGCTTCAGTAGTAAAAATGTGCTTAATAAGTCACATAATAAGTTGTATGGACTCACTCTGTGTGCAATAATAGTGTTTAACATGATTTTTGTGTAACTACCTCATCTCTTTACCCTACACATACAATTATCTGTAAGATCCCTCAGTCGAGCAGGGAATTTCAAACACAGATTCAACCACAAAGACCAAGGAGGTTTTCCAATGCCTTGCAAAGAAGGGCACCTTTTGGTAGATGGGTAAAAAAAAAAAAAAAAAAGCAGACATTGAATATCCCTTTGAGCATGGTGAAGTTATTAATTACACTTTGGATGGTGTATCAATACACCCAGTCACTACAAAAAATACAGGCGTCCTTCTTAACTCAGTTGCCGGAGAGGAAGGAAACCATTCAGTGATTTCACCATGAGGCCAATGGTGACTTTAAAACAGTTAGAGAGTCTAATGGTTGTGATAGGAGAAAACTGAAGATGGATCAACAACATTGTAGTTACTCCACAATACTAACCTAATTGACAGAGTGAAAAGAAGGAAGCCTGTACAGAATAAAAATATTCCAAAACATGCATCCTGTTTGCAATAAGGCACTAAAGTAAAACTGCTCAAAAAATTGGCAATTAAATTAACTTTATGTCCTGAATACAAAGCGTTTGGGGCAAATCCATCACGACACATCACTGAGTATCACTATTCATATTTTCAAGCATGGTGGTGGCTGCATCATGATATGTCTACACTTGTCTTCAGCAAGGACTTTAAAGTTTTTTACTATAAAAAGAAATGGAATAGAGCTAAGCACAGGCAAAATCCTAAAGGAAAACCTGGTTCTGCTTTCCAACAGACACTGGGTGACAAATTCACCTTTCAGCAGGACAGTAATCTAAAACACAAGGCCAAATATACACTGGAGTTGCTTACCAAGACGACATTGAATGTTCCTGAGTGGCCTAGTTACAGTTTTGACTTAAATCAGCTTGAAAATCTTTGGCAAGACTTGAAAATGGCTTTCTAGCAATGATCAACAACCAACTTGACAGAGCTTGAAGAATTTTTAAAGAAGAATGTGCAAATATTGGATAATCCAGGTGTGCAACCCTCATACAGACTTACCTAGAAAGACTCACAGCTGTAATCGCTGCCAGAGATGATTCTAACATGTGTTGACTCAGGGGGTTTAATACTTATCTAATCAGGATATATTAGTGTTTTATTTTTCATAACTCTTTTACAAATGTTCGAATTTTTCTTCCACTTTGACATGACAGAGTATTTTGTGTAGATCGTTGACAAAAAATGGCAATGAAATCTATTTTATTCATACCACTTTGTAACACAACAAATCGAAGCCACCGTGCCTCAATCTTGGCAGTCCCCCACCAATGAAAAAAATATTTGGGAAGCTATAGAAATGCATTTATTAATGTCTACCTTTGTTTTTGCCATGTTTACACTATTACAGACACCTAATGCATACTTTTAAATTATATTAAGTGAGCTAAACATGCAAATGAAAAAATATATAATATGTAAAAACGATTTCCTTAAAGTATACTTTTTTGAAAGTTCTAATGTTACTGTCCCCACTACATCAACAAAATAGGTTATATAAAAATATCCCTATAATATCAAAAAGCACTTCACTTCCCTGGTGTTGATGCTCTCAAATTGTCATGGGTGTAGCTGGAATGCAACGACCCTTTTTCGAGAGAGAGAGAGAGAGACTGAGTGCAACACTGACACAATATTTAAATGTTGCCATAGAAACCAGGGAATTTTGTCTGTGTATGGTTCTGTTGTATGTGTTGTGTGTGTGTGTATGTGTGTGCTTGTGTGCGTGCGTACGTGCGTGCGTGCGTCTACGTGTGTGTGAGTATGTGTGTGTGTATGTGTGTGTGTGTGTGTGTGTGTGTATGTGTGCGCACGCGTGCGTGTGTTGGTGTTAGCAGTGAGAAGTGGTAACCAGGGGTAACCTGGGGTAACTGTCAAGTCCAAAGTGTCTCTCAAGACA